TCAAACCGACTTGCCAGGGTTACTTGTTGCGTGCGTTCAAGTGCCTTTGGACGTCTCGCTGTTAGCATGAACCCGCATACTCTGTTTGTGATGCACAGAAGGCCAGCTCGTTCACAGCCTTGCTTGCAACTGGATCTGGCCCGGCCGGGATGTCACTTGTCAGCACCGTTTCTGCTCGCTAGCTACTCCGTGGTTACCCCCTAGTGACCGTAGTAACTGCCATGGTTCGTTGGCTTCTGTGGCTTTTGCTGTTCTGCTTGCCTGCTATGGCCATGCAGCGTGGCCACGGCAAGGGCTCTTACGGAGGCCGGCCCTACCATTGGGGCAAAAGCTATGGGTCTGGCTACCAGAGTGACTCAAGTGGATGGCAGCGAGGCCCTAGCCGCTTAGACCGGCTAGAGCTTATGGTGGAGGAGACCATGAAGACTTGGGGCAAGCGAGAAAAATCCAAGAAGAGTAAGAAGAAGGCTTCCTCGTCTGAGTCGTCCTGCTCTTCGTCAAGTTCCCGCCGAGCAAAAAAGTGTAAAAAGGCTAAAACAAGGAAGGCCAAGAGGAGCCGTGACGGAAAGAGCCAAGAAGCGTCACGTGGCCTGGATATGGATGAAATGAAAGAACTACAGGATTTCCGTCGGCACGCTGAGCTTGAGAAACTTCGTGCAGACATCCGGGCCAGCATGGAGACTGAGAACGCCGGAAACACCCCCAAGGCTAACTTGAGAAGCCCAAAGACAAAGCCCAGGACGCCGCACGTTGAAAGCTTCACTCCAAAGGCTTGCCGCTTGCTGTCTGCAGAGTCCAGGCTGTTCCAAGACGGCGGGGTTAAGCAGCTAGATGGCGAGGACTGCACGTCGTGGGAGCTTGTCACGGAGCAGCTGTCTGGCCAGTGTCTTCCCGACTTAGAGGCCCTACTCAAGCAACTCCGACCTGACACCAACGTTCCTCGTGGTAGAGCCGAAGTGGTGCGGGAAATTGTGAGTCTTCAGGGTAGAACTTCGTGAGGGCGGCCCTCTTTCTGTTTGCGGCCCTCGGGAGGAACAGCAAAGCCTGCAGTTACCTTGTTGCTTGCGACTGCCTGTGTCTTGATGGCCACGTGGTTGGTGTGTCCATGGGCGCAGCCAGTGCAATACCAAGGGTTCTTCTATCGCTCTTGGAAGTACTGCGAGGCTCTGTACATCTTGGGACGCGAGAACGTCAGTTCTCGTCATTTTTGGAGTCTGCCTTCGGTATTCCTATCTTGTCAGCTTCAACAGGGGTAGGACTACTGATTTTCTCAAGTGTGACCGGCGCTGCTACGCCAGCTAAAGTCCGACGCGTTCTCAAAGCTCTTCTAGTCACTCCTCCACGAAACCCGCCCTTCCAAAAGAGTGTGCGGTGGGTTGTTTTGATGCTGTAAGGAAGTTTGCATTCACACAGGCCTTCGATGAGTAGTTTCTGTTTTCCTACCACCTTCAGGGCTCGACTCATGTACAGGTGACGCTGTGTTGACTTCCATGGACCATACCAGCTGAAAGTTCATGATGTCTGTAGCCCCTGCGGGGCTCCGGATGGTTATGGGGTGCAGCAGCAGACCCGGCGCTCACGACGGCCCCCGGCCGGGCATCCGGAAAAGAGTTGCAGATTCGTGCTGGTGCTGTGACTTGCTTACCATACACACGTAATGGCCAGGCATTTTTGACAGTCAGGTTCATCACGAACCGGTGTTGATTGGCATGATGGGCGCTGGACCAAGGAAGCACTGGATGTTGTTGAAGAGCACACGATACCCGAGCGTTCATGCGTCGCGGCGTTGAAGAGCTTCAACCCGCCTTTGATTGACAAATGCTTGTTCACGAGTACACGCCTCAACCCTCAACTTACTGATTTTGCCCCACGTTGCACTGATGCGATGTGCCAATTCTGTTACAGACCGACGTTGAAGGTCCCCGCGTACTTTCCGTCCAAAATACAAATGTGCGTCGTCGTCACTTAGAACTGGAATCATGTCTCCGTCAACGTCGACGAAAGAGGTCTCAGGCGAAGCGACAGTTGTGAAGATGCGAGTTTTCACTGCATTCAACGATAAACCAACAGACGCCAACTCAACCTTCAATGACTCCAACATGACAAAAAGCTCCTGCCACGATTTCGCATACAGCAGTAAATCGTCAGCAAAGCGAATATGGTCAAATTGGTGGCACCATCAAACTTGATGCCGTGGTCTCGCAAACGCACTCCGCATTGATTTGGAAAAGCACGGCTGTCGGCGACAGACCCAGATTGTTGTGAATACAACGTCCCTAGCCAAGCGATATCATCATAGGGTCACAGGGAACTCGTTGCTCTTGCAATGCGCGGAATAAGCTTTCATGGTGGATTTGGTTAAAAGCTTTACGTATAGATCAATGCTCGCAAACCAAACCTCGCAATCAAATTCGTTGGCCTTCGCGCAATCGCAAACATAGTCGAACACACACACAATGCTTGATCCATGCCAAAACCGAGTCGAAAACCCATTTGTTCCACAGATTGACTTGGTCTAGAATGGGCTGCAAACGTCCATGTACCAGCTTGGACAAGACTTTGTAGATCACCTTCAACGACGCCAAATTCTGCACGTTTGAGCACTATGTTTTTTTTTTACGCGCTTCTTTTCGAACAGTGACCGCGGTCCCACTGCACGTTTCAGCTGCGAGCTAGGGGAGGGTTCAAGGCGCCGCCGAGCGGGGGGCCGCCGCGGACCTCGGCGAGGATTTCGTGGAGGTCAGGCGCCGCACCCGCATCGCAAACGTCACCACCAGGCAGCTCGAGGAGGGACGCCGCAAAGGCACGCATGGCAGCGACCGCAAGGAGGCCGGACCAACGTTGGACCCAGCCTGCACAAGCAGCAGCTCGGAGGAGGGGTGGAAGGCTGGCCGCACGGTGCCGGGCAAGGTGACGGAGGAAGGAGGCAGCTTCAGCTCCGAAGCGCCCGCCGACCTCGACCCCGAAAACGACGAGACGGGCCCGTCGCGCGCTTGCGAGCTCGGGGTACGTTTGGCGCTTGCGGCGCGCGGCGGCCTGGACGGCCGCGCCAGGGCGCTCGGCGGCGCCCGGCTGCGGCTCCCCGCTCCGCGTGACAGGACTGACGATCGTGGCATCAAGCGCGAGCTGCGCCCCGTGCCAGAGGGGCAGGCCGCTTGCGACGACCTCAATGCGACGCGCGTCACTGACGGGAACATCGATGTTCATGTCAGCAAGCCGGACGTTTTGCGTGCAACCCGCGCGCCGCCTTCCCGGCACACACGGGCGACCGCATGCTCGAGCGGAAGGGCTCGCGTCGCCAACACTCCGGAGGTGGCACAAGCGGCGCGGTGGTCACCAAGCGGGTCGAGGCGCCCCGGCAGCGGCAGGTGCGCGGCGTCAGGGGCAGTGGCAGACGGAGCCGCCGCAGAAGGAGCACGCGGAGGTGTTCGGGGGGCAGGGTGACGGCCGGTGACGTGGGGAGGACGGTGAGGGCACGGCCTGAGTGGGGTCCAGCTTGCGAAAGCAGCAGCGCTCGGGACGCTCGTCGCAAGCTGCCACGGCAGCCCTCTGCCAGCTACGCAGGTGGCCGTCCCCGTGCGGGGGTTGCGGTGCGGCAGGCGCGGCCGCAGCGCTCCAGTCGGGTACGGGAAAGCCGGCCTCACGTACTCGCGCCGCAGCCGTGCAAGCGGCGGCGAGGGCCGGCGGCATGCCAGCGTGAGGCGCACGATAGCTGGCTTGCAACTGCGCAGCGTCGGCAGGGAAACGCTGCATGGAGCAGTGCAGGGAAGGCGTCCTGCCACGAGGCCCAATAGGCGGCAGCGGCACCGGAGGTGGCAGAACGCAGACCCAGGCCCCCTAACCCGAGCGGAAGCTGCGCCGTGCCAAGGGCATCATTTCGCAGCTCGGGTGCTTCCTCGCCGTAGAGAAAGGTGCGGAGACACAGGGCGACGGCACGATCATGTTCGCGGGAGTAATCGGCCGTGCAGTGCGGGGGGAGCATGCGGAGGAGGTAGTTGGCGCGGGGGGACGCGCAGTAAAGTCGTAGCAACCAGGCTGCCTGCAGGTCGCCGAGGGCGGGGATGCGCTCGAGGAGGACCCCCTGGCTGCGGCGCCGGTCCCGCAGTTGCCGCTGCACGAAAGCTTCAGTGCGGAGCGGCGCACCGAGCACGACGAGCCCTTGGCGCTCAGCAGGCAAGGTCCAAGCCCCGACCCACACGTCAGTGGCGAGGCTGGGGTCCGGTTGCAGTGCAGCGAGGTTCGGCGGTTCCTCTCCAGCTGCGTTCCAGACACGGGTCTTGCCCTGGTTGAGCTGGACTCGAGCATGGTCCCAAAGGGCAGCGGCGAGGGTACCGTACAAGGTGGCGACGCGCTCAGGGGGGCAGACGATGTAGGTATCATCGAATCGAGGAAGGCGAACACGCCTTCGCCTGGCTGCAGTGTGGACGCGACAGCATGAAGGGCAGCGTGCTGTGCCACCGCATAGAGCGCGGGCATGAGGGGGTCGCCTTGCTCGCCGCCCTCGGCTTGCAAGATCTCGTGCTCGGTGCCCGTGTCGTCAGTCCAGACGTAGCTGCTCTCGGTGCCATAGAACTGGCGAGCGAACGGCAGGTCGCGAGCGCAGCCCTTCGAGCATGGCCTGTCGAGAAACGTGGTCGAACGCTCCTACGGCGTCGACCGACAGGACTGTGGTGCGGGGATTGCACTCGGTGGCGACCTGGAGGAGCTTGTACAGCGCCTCAGTGCCCGCACGCGTGCTCAGGCCGAACTGATATGGCATGCATGCCGCCTGGAGGGCCTCCGCGAAGTGCTGTGCCAAGGCTCGGGCGACGAGGCGGCGAAAAACATCCCCGACGACGAGCGCACGCACCCGGCCGTTCGGCTTCCGGAGCGCTACGATTCGTCCAAGGCGTGCGGCTGCCAAGACAGGCGCCGGCACGTCAGGGTTGGCGAACCGAAGTGCTGCCTGGTGGAGCAAAGTGAAGTCGTCGGGGTCGTCCAGCAGCAAGCGCAGGTGCTCATTAATCATGCCTGAAGGGCCTGCGGCCGAGCCTCGCCGGGCCGCGCGCAGGTTGGCCAGCAGGAGCGTGTCTGGCATGGATGCATGGCTCCGCGACATGGTTGAGCACCTCCGGGCTGAGTGGCACGACTGGTGTTTGAGGTCGGCGGCTGGGGTCCCGAAGTTCAGCGAGCGTAGATTGGTTGCCGGCGGCGAGTGGCTCAGCAGTGAGGGCCCGACTCGCTGCAGAGAGTTCCCCCAAGTGGACGAGCGCGGTGGCGCGCGCCGCTCGACGTTCCGGGTCGGCCCCGTCAGCAGGTGAGCGCGGGGTAGGCCGCGCGGGAGGTGCGGCGCAGGCCGCGCGGAGAAGCGAGGGCCATGCCGCGGCGGAAAGCGTCCGCACGCCGCTCGAGCTCGGCGGGTTCGATGCGCGGGGTGCCAAGAAAAGAGTTTCCAGCCACGGGTTGTGTCGTCCGGCCCGAGGCCCGCCACGGCCTGCTCCAACCCCGTCCGCAGCGCATAACGGAGAATGCCTCGAAGTTGGGTCGGAGCGCTCTGGAGTGATCTGGAGTGTGAGTGTCCGACGGCGCAGCTCAAAGGCGAGATCAATGTCGTCAAGCTGCTCGAGGCCGAGGCGCACGCCTGTGGAAACAACGCCAACCCGTTGCTCCGCCTGCGTCGGAGCTGCGGCGGCCGTGCAAGGGGCGCCTGCAGGCAACGGAGTCTGGGATCCTGTGTCCGCGTGCTGCTCTGCGGCCGCGACGCCCTCCGCCTCGCCCACGCCTTTGCTGGGCAGCGCCCGGGGCGCGCTCCGAAACAACGGCAGCGACCTCGTCGTCGGGCGAGTCGAGGCCATCGTCACCGTCAGACTGCCGTGCACCGAGGGCTGCAGCGGCGGGACGCAGGCCAGCGGGTGCAGGAGGGACCGGCGCCTCGTCGTCGCGGCGAAAGGCATCAGAAAAGCGGTCGAGGTTCGCAGCAAAACTAAGCCCCCCATACGGTTGCAAACACACTTCCTGCGCTGCTGCATGGATGTAGCCTTCGGCAGAAGCGAGCTGACGAACAACCCACCCTAAATGCAGCTCAGCGCCGGAGGGCAAGGCCTGGGCTGCAGCGATGATGTTTTGGGGAGGCGGAGTGTGGTGCCGGGCAGCTGCCTCCCGCAGGGCATCGAGGAGCAGGGCGGCCGCAACCGAAGCCGAACGAAGGAGCGTGTGGCGTGCTTCACTCCACCGGACCAGGGCTGGCAGCGCTCCTCACGGCTCCATGCTTCGACGGCTCGCGGGGACAGCGCGGGCAAGCCCACGACAGTCGCCATGCCATGATGCCGGTGTCGCCGCGGACGGCGATGGGTGACCACTGTATTCTCCTGTCCGGGAGCTCGACGAAGTTGATTTCCCCTTCGTCCCCACGCACGGCTGCGACTCGGCGGCAGCAGAGCACGCGCACATGAGTTGGTGGCTGAGGTTCGGGCGCATCGTTGGATGTGAATGTGCGGATCGTGTAGTCCGCAATGCCCTGGCGCACGGTGGAAGGGGCGGGCAGCCGTGTGGGCGCCTCGATCCCCCGTGCCGCACAAGCCGCTCGCAACCATTGGTCGTCGGCATCGGCCCAGCCTCCCGCAGCGCAGACCGGGCAGTGCATGTCTGCATCGGCTTGGGCCCGCTGCTGCGCAAGACACGCGAGGTGCAAGCGGTGGCGGGCGCACGTCGGGTGGAGGACTGCAGATGCCTCGCCGGTGGTTGTGGGGTCGATGGGGTCTAAGCAGATCGCACACAAGTCCGCCTCGGGGACAGCGGGCGGCGTGTTGAGGGAGATGTCGGACTCCCGCGGAGTGTTGGGGGGCGTGTCGTCCAGCACTGTAACGACAGTCGCTGTCACATTGCAACCAAAACGGCGAAGCTCGGATTGAGCCCCGCCGTGACGCCAGGCGCACTGCCGGGCCTGCCTTACGCCACGCTCGCCGGGCGAAGGAGCGCACTTACCCGGAACTCGGCAACTCCGGACGCTGCCGCTTAGTCGTGCTTAGCATAGAAACCGGCGGCAGGTGGAGCGCGGAAGCTGTTACCTTCCTCCGGCTCCTCGCCCGTTGCCGAGCCCGGTCTGCTCCCCCACCCCTGCAAAGTGCCTGCATCTCTGCCTACGTGCTGCGGTGGTCCGCCTTGCTCGCATGTGCCGCTGCCCGTGCCTTCGCGAGCAGCCTCCTCTCCCTACCGCTTTCTGGGGCCGCCAATGTCGACGAAGATCCCCCACTCCTCAGCGACCTGCTCGCCGAACCATTGGCTCCACCTCCTCTCGCGAACTGCAAAAGGGTGTGTTTTGGTGGAAAAAATTGTCGCATGAGTGCTCGGGGAAAATCGTTTCGTGTGAGTCGGGAATGGGTGACTCGCGCCCCCACATCGAGCACGAACGCAGCCGGGACCATGCACATGCCAACGACCACCGCAAAGCAAACATCCACGACAGTGGATTTCCGCATGAGTGGCCCGCAAACCATACAGTATTCCGTTTGGGGCCAAAAGAAACACGAGGGTCGTGTCGACTGCTACACCCCCCCCCAGACTGGCAAGCCGTTGGCGATGACCTCGATGCGGCGGTCGTCCTGTCGTGAGGGAGCGACATTGAGGTCCCGTTGGTGGCAACACTGGCACAAGCTTCACGGCAAACACATGCTGCAGCACGCTCGAGCGGAGCACCATTCGCGCCAAAACACCGGAGCGAGGGCATGCGGCGAGGTGATCCTTCAGAGGGTTCTGGCGACGTCTGCAGCGACAGTATGCGGCCGTGAGCGGCAGAGGGAGCTTTAGACGTCGCAGCAGCAACACCCGGAAGTGTGAAGGAGCCAGCGACAATTCGGGAGAGGTAGGCCTGGCCGTGAAGATACGAGCCCGCCTGGCCGGGGGATCGAGCTCCCGAATGATGGATCGTCGACAGCCTTGGACGCAGGACGCTGCCAGCCACGTGTGGTGAGTTGGGGTTCGTCGTCTTCATCGCGCGGAGCCGACGTAGTCAACAACTGGGGCCAGGACGGAGGGGCAAAACCGGATGCAGTCAAAGAAACACGAGCGAGGGGGAGCGACTGGAGGACCTCTGGTGCAGGCGAACCCCCCTCAAGAGTGTCGACGAGGGCACGTGCAAAGGCTGGGTCCCGACAGGCTATGACAGGCAGCACAAAGGAAGCCCAGTAAGCGGCCGGTGCATGGCGTGCCGCACCGCGAAGGCCTCATCCCCCATGGCGCAAAGCAAGCTGGGCCCGAGCAGCGGCAAGCAAAGGCAGAAAGCACTCCATCATCGTGCGCGGCAGCGTAGGCCCTTGTCGCTTCAGGCAAAAGAGAACGGAGCGCATACTGCGCTGGTGGCGCTGCACAGCACGAGAGGAGCGGCCAGCTGATCTGAAGGCCGGACTGCCGATGGGGACGCCCAGGGCAACGAGGCCGCGTTGTTCTGGGCTCGAGGCGAGGTCCCTAACCCAGACTTGCGCCTCGGGCGCAAGCTGCAGGACTGCAGGAGGCAGCACTCCCGCCGCATTCCATACTCGTGTTTTGGAGGCACTCAAATGCAGTCGAGCCCGTTGCCAGAGCAGCTCCTCGAGGCGGCGGTAGAGCAGTGCAACCCGGTCGGGTGGGGCAAGGGTGTAGACATCATCGAGGTATGCAAGCACTTGCTCAGTGGGCCTGAGCTCCCGATGCAGGTCGTGAAGGGCGGGGGCGAGAGCGACCGAGAAGAGCGCCGGCATCAGCGGGTCACCTTGTTCGCCGCGCACAAGGTCATTTCGCTTTCGCTTTCGCCCGTTCGAGTCATGGTGAGACACCACGGCAACGGTCCTATAAGGACATGGGGATGTTAGTGAAACATAAATCAAGATAATAGGATTCACAGCACCATAAAGTCTCTGACAAATTCGGGTTCTTTGACTTTCCATGCTGTACATGCTGCCACGTTGGTCCAGCAAGGTGCGTTCGGAAAATGACGCTTACAGGACGAGCGGAGTCTATCATCCCATCTTGTGAAGGGGCGACCAAGACTGCGAGACGGACATAATGTAAAGTTCTCTGTCCAATTATAAAAAAAAGACGTGTCGTGCCCAGCTATCGGATTCAGCAACTTGGGATGCAAAATGATACTGACGTCTGGCCAATCTTGTTGTCCACATTTCCACCGGATACTGCTTGAGAGCCTGGCCACGGTTCGTCGGACACGCGGATCCATCCTACAATGGACCTAAGCATGCGTCGTAGCACATTATCCAACTTTTGTAACTGCTGTTGTGTCAATGAAAGAGTGTGCAACCCATATAATACAGTCGGCGTCACGGTTGCATCGAATAGCTTCAACCGGAGTTTGATGGATACATGTCTGTTTGTTAGCGCCTTAGGGTGCAAATAGAACTTGTACCATGCCACATGTATTCTGTGATTCAATTCGGTGATGTGTCGCTGAAACAAGTTGCCATCCAAATGCCGTCCCAAATAGTTATGCACAGAATCGGGCATGAGAACCTCCACCATGTCGCCACAGATGTCCAGATACAAAGCCGATTCAACATCAGAAGACCTTGGTTTTGCGCGGGCTCAACTGAAGCCCAATTTTGCCGAGCTCTTGAATGAGACTTTCCATCATGAACACCAGTTCATCGGACGTCTTTGCATACAATACGATGTCATCTGCATATCTTACATTGGTCAGCCGTTCAAGGAAGCCAACATGCAAACCTTGTGATCTCAATTTGGCTTTCTAGTTGCGAAACGCATGCTCCAACCCAGCGTTGAATAAGCTTGGGCTCAATACATTGCCTTGCTTCACTCCGCGTTCGATTCGAAACTGTCGCCCGTCTTTCAAACAGCTAAGTTGGAAGTGATACAGCGTCGACAGTAAGCTAAGATACGATAATGACCGATAATGGCACACATTGGTCAGACAGGGCATGGAAAAGCGAATCAAACTCAATCCGACCAAAGGCCTTTCGCAGATCAAGGCTTGCGATCCATAGCGGCTCTCTCCATTCAATGCATTTTCCAGCCATTGTCTCCAAAACTGCAAAAGCATGATCGACTCCAAGTTTGTGACGAAAGCCCACCTGATCACGGCTTTGTCCTTTATCCAATAATGGGTGAATGCGCCAGTGTATCAACTTGGCAAATATCTTGTACGTAATTCGTAAGACTGCAATAGGCCGCCAGTTCGAAACTTCAGCAACATCACTTGGCTTGGGGATCATTTTGAACAATGATTCTTGCCAAAACGGCTCCAAACATTGATCACGCAAGATTCGATTGTAGATGCCAAGTAAAACCTCATGCAGTGAACCTCCGTGTTTGAACATCTCCAAAACCAGCCCCAAATCGTACCCACTCTTACGGTTTCTCATCGATGGTAGTACACTCGTCAGCTCGGAGAGCTTGAAGGGGGGAATGTCGGCAAACAATGTGTCTTACTGCAAGCCATGGGGTCCTGTCAGATGGTCCCGGCGGTCACTTGAAAACATCACTCAAGCTTTTCGTGAAATCTTGGCATTTTGCTGTTGTCCACATGCGTACGAAAAATGGGGTCCTGAAATGCTGCATGCATTTGGTCCAAGTCCGTGAAGTCGTCCAAAATTGAGTTCAATTTTTTGTTCAGTTTTTGGTGCTGGTGTTTGCGCAACGTCGTCCGGATCAGTTTCGACAGAATACGGCGTTCGAACACATTTTTGCAAGCTCTCCTGTTAGCCAACAATGTTTGAAAATCATGCTGCTTCCAAGGTTCAATCGAGACATGGTCATGTTGTAGCATGTTGTTGGAAATGGCCGTGGAAAGAACAACATGCACAAGCTCCTCGATGTTCTCAGGCTTCGTCGCTTGCAACTTGTTCTGTAGACATGTCCAATATTCATATGGGTCTTCTGGCTACCAACCACGTAATGAACGGATTGCGCCACCTTGTTGTAACTTCCTTTTGCGATGTTGCACTGCCAATTTGCAACAAATCACAGCACGATGATCTGAACCGAAATCAAGGAAATCCGTTGGCCCAGCATACACACGGCAGATGTTCGGGCTGTGTAAATACGAAATCAATTTGGCGCTTCACGCCCGTGGAACTGGAAAATGTCCAATCATCAGGATCATCAGGGTGAGTCGTATCATTTTTTTTTCTCGCGCCTTTTTGCGACTGCTCGAACTGTCCCAACGCCGTCTAAGCTACCGCTGTCTCTAGTGCGTCGCACAGTCGTATCATTTGCTATATGCAATACAAACATGAATGTTAGTTCACGCAGCATCTCGCCACGCTTGCCGACTTTCAATTGTGTGTTGAAATCGCCTCCAACAACGGCTGCTTGCCCCAATTGCTGTGAATCCGTCAAAACGCACTGGAGTTGCTCATATACAATGCACAACTCTTCATGAGAATATCCTGCATGGGGCAAATACGTCGCAATCAAACGCCAAGTGATAGTACCTACAAGCAGATCCACATACATCAAGCGATCGTTGATCGAGCAAACGCGCTTCACAGGTCGGCAATGCTCTGTGCACAAGCACCGCAACACCGGCGCAAGCTGTGCTCTGCGACGATGGAAAAAGCATGTAACCGTCTTGCAGCTTGCATTGGTCTCCTCCCCGATGCGTTTCACTGAACAAAATAATGTCCCAGTCAACATCTGCAATTTCACCTAACATCACCCATGAGCTCGTGGCGTCAACTGAGACGACTGTGAGTTCTGAGTCAGCTTGCGTGCGGGCTTGCAACGTGTGCACCCAGGCTTCGGCCCCTGCCCGCGACGACAGCGCGTATTGGTGCGGGTTGCACGCTGCCTGGGAATGCGACGCGAGTTGCTGGGCAACAATGCGGGCAACCAGGCGTCGCAAGACATCCCCGACCACAAGGCCTCGAGTGCCGCCCGAAGGCTTGCGGATAGCAATGAGGCGTCCGATCCGTGGAGGGTGCACCAACGGCCAACCCAGGAAGGCGAGCCCGGGGGTCACCTTGGGGTTAAACCTTCCGGAACCCGGCCTGGCATACATGCAAACTTCAATTTCTTGTCAGACTGTTATTATCGAACAAGAGTCTCGGTCACTTTGCTTGGTCGGGAATCATTACATCTCTCCACTGGGCGCCCAAAAAATCCTGCGGTTGTTCGAAGATGGTCGCTCCGGCCGTGAACTAGCTGCTGTCTTCAAGAAAAGAGTTAATGCCCCGCGGGGCGGATAACAGTTGAAGATGTTTGAAGACGATGTAGGCCTGTGTTGAGGGTCCTTGGCAGAGGCAATCTCGAGGGCACGGTGGTTTGAAGTCCGAAAAAGTTTTCAGAAGGTGGCTCTTGAACACTGCCGTCCTCGGGGCCAACTTCTGCACACGTGGGGTAACTTCTGTGCAAGGGGGCTGGGGTAACTTTTGACTTGCGGGGTAACAAACACGCCTGCTCGTACCGACCCAACCATCCGACAGCAAAGCTGGTCGCATGCCCTCGGTGCTGGCCGCCACAAGCATGGACCTACCTGCACAGCGAAGGCGCGCACGTCGCTGGCTGGGGGAAGGCGCCCTTCCGTGTTGTCTTTCCTTTAAACGCACGCCCCACACAAGCCATCTGAGAACATAGCCCATGTGACATGGCATCACGCTTTAAAGTGTTCCCCGAGGGCACAGTGGGATTGGGACACCTCATGTGTACACCACGAAGAGGACGAAAACAGGATGCGGCTTTGCATCGTTTGATGTGTGGGATATTTTGCCGGCGACTTGATCCTCCGCATGTCTCCCAATCCTGTTGATGTGCAGCAATGCACTCTGAGACAAGTACTACAGTATGGGTCGACTCTGATTGGGCAACAGATATGGTGTCCTCGCATATATGAAGCGCACGCAAGGTGTGCCGTTGTCATGGTTGCATGATGTCAGCATTCACCCCAGAAACAATATCAAGAAAACCACCGACGATAACCTCGCGGATGTTATGACAGAGGCACGATTTTCACAGCATGGTTGTGCAATGGTTTTGAACAAGTGGTTGACCGGGGATTTTCATGCTCACAGAAGCAAGGCCTTTGCTCAAGTGACCGGGTAAAAACAATTGCTCGTTTATGGGCGCTCCAAGAGGTAGAGGAATGCAGAGGATGTACGTATCCACCAGGAACGCAGAAACCACTTCGCGTGGGCTGCAGTGGGACGCAACGGCGTGAAGGGCGGCGAGTTGGGCCACTGCGTAAAGTGCCATCAGGAGGGGGTCGCCCTGCTTTTTACAAGGTGGCCCTGGCAGTGCGTGCGCGTGACAAGCTGCCACGGAACGCCCGCTGCCAGCCGCTCAGGTGGCCAGACCCGGGGGGAGGGTTCGGCGCGCAATGCTCCAGTCGGGCACTGGAAAGCCAGCCTCATGCGCCCGCGCCGTGGCTGTGCAAGCAATGTCTGGCGGTATGCCTGCGTGCGGCGCACGAAGGCTAGAGTTTGCCACCACACGGCATCAGATGGGGAACCTTTGCGCAGCGCAAGAAGGCATCCTGCCCCAAGGCCTGCTACGTGGCCAATGCGCCGGAAATAGCAGATCGCAAACCCAGGCCCGCCTGACCCAAGCGGTAGCTGCGCCGTGGCAAGGGTTTCAGTCACCAGTTTTGGTTTTCCTGCCCGTAAAGCAGGGTGCAAAGACAACGACGCGATCATGTTCGCGGGAGTATTCGGCCGTGCAGTGCGGAAGAAGCATGGAAGCATACGGAGGAATTAGTTGGCTTGATGTGCAGATGCAAATTACCCAGGCCGGGGATGCGCTCGAGGAAGACCTCCGGGCTGCGGGGCCGGTCCCGCAGTTGCCGCGGCACAAGCAGCTTTCGTGCCGAGCGGTGCCCAAGCACAACAAGCCCGAGCCCCGACCCACACGTCCGCGGCAGAGCTGGGATCTGGTTGAGTTGCAGCGAGGTTCGGCGGCTCCTTTCTCTGAGTGTGAAGCTATCAAACCAGGGCACGAACGGGCAGCCGTTTTAGCACCAGGCCACTGTTTAAGAACCGGTTTCGCCCCTTGTGGGCTCGTTCAGCTTTCTGGCCCTTGTGCCAAAAGCTGCCGTGACATGTCGTCTTGATGCTCGTCGTGAATTGTTTTAAATTTAAAACACAGACCCTCACCACCCACCCTGTCTGTGCAAGAGCTACTGGTCTCGACTGGGCATAAGCCAATTGTCGACAAAATGATGCTTGAACACATTGGGCTGTACGGTATATGCCAAGCTCAAAGAAATTGGATCTTTGAAACAACGTTGCAAATCGCCAGCGTGCTTCTTCAAGCAGCTGTTGATTACATGGCTGGGAACTGAACGGCTGTACTTGATGAACATAAAGAACTTCTTGGACTTCTTGATCTCTGGAGTCTTTCTTCGGCCATTCTGCAAACAAAGTTGTATGGAACGCCACACATCCATGTAAGAATGACCTCTCATTGCGAGCCTCTTTGCGAAGAACCTCAAATGCTTGATCAAGTTGGTTTTGCTGCTGTTGGTTCGCAGCAAACGGCACACTTCACCCCGGATCGTACTGGCATACACTGATCTTGGATGGCAGCTGGCGGCTGGCACATACAAGTAACTATTCAACTCTTTGCGATGGGTTTGCCACTCCATGCGCCCGTCTATGTGTGACAACTGTAGGTCGAGAAAAGCGACAGCGTGATCCCCATGCTGTAAGCGGCCTCCTCGACTTGTAATGTCCCACTTAAGCTCGGGCTTCCATGAACTCAAGGTGTTGTGTACATCATCCACACATGCAGCACAAACCACGGAGTCATCGACTAAGCGAGCATAGAAAACAATTTCATCGCGATGGGTATTGTACACGATCCTGTCAGCTTGTCCCACATAGAGATTTGCGAGGAACACACCCGGCGGTATGCCGGTAGCGACGCCAAATGCTTCATAACATTCCCCACGGTGCGTCACGTACTGGTTTCTGAGCAAGATCTCAAGAAGCTGACAGATGAATCTGGATTTTTGGTTTTCGCCGTAGTGTAGCCTGACGGAATGTTGTACTGAAATGATCAAGTCGTCAGTGTTGATGCTTGGATACAGGTTTTGAATGTCGATGGTGGCGATCTCGTAGTTGCTGGGTAACTGAATTGGCATGCGTTTGAGAAACTCATTGCTGCTTGCAACCGCGAAGTCCAACGATTGTTGTATTGGCATCAGCTGGTCGCAAAGATACAAGCTAGCAGACGTGAGCCAAGAATGTGAAAGATTCGCAATCGGACGTCCTTTCATAGGCACCTTGTGCAACTTCACTCGCAGCCGAAATGAACCTTCGCCCGCTGTGAAGAGATTCTGGGTGATGAGATGTACTTCGCGTGATGTTAGGACACCTGCTTGCTTAGCGCGTTCGGCAACTAATTCAAGCGTAGATCTTGCCTGAAACGCCTTGCCAACATACTCCTGGCGACTGAGCTTTCGAAATCCTGTGTCAAGCAAACGCTGCATCTCGTCTTCTACCCATTGCCTTGGCATCATTCCGTCGCCCAATCCTTTGTCTGCATCAACAATGATCATGCAGCGCCGATGCTTCTTGAGCCATTGGCGTGCTTTGGTGTCCAACCATGTGAGGTTTCTGGAAGGCTGGCGATCAACGTATCTTGCACACAAGGTGCGCTTGACACTTCTCACGAACCTGCAAACGGCTTCATTCTCAGGCGGGACCCAAGTAGAAACTGATGATCGCGTAGATCGGCTGAGATTGGATGGTTACGGCCTTTCTGTTGAGTCCAACGCCTCGAAGAACTTTGCAATATGAAGTCTGCGCTCTAGATTATTAAGACTGTGATACACATGCGAAATAGAGCATCGAAAGCGGTCGGCAATGAACTTGCCGCCCTTGTTCAAGTACAGCTTGACATAATCCGGCACTGAGAACGTTGATGGCATGCATGAATGAACGTAAGTGCCACGAATTCTTGTAGCCAAAGTCTGCAACGAAGTTCTAGAAGAACGGCTAATACAAAACGAAAGAAAGTCAATCTTTGACACTGAAAAATCCCAGTAGCTTCTGCATCTTCGTCTTGCGTCGGATGCAGTTTGGATGGGAGGGCGCAACCGTCAAATACGGCTGCCATTGAATCGCACTTGTTTTCCTCGTCCTCGTCCTTTGTCGGAAGCCTTGCCCTTGCGGCCACCTTTGCCTTTTCCTTTCCCTTTTCCTTTGCCCTTGCCTTCATGCGAAGAATGCGCCGAGCCTCTTCTCGATGATGTTGATGGCTTGCGCGAGGTCGGCTTTGAAGTAGACTTCCTCGATGAAGACCGCGACGATGCGCGAGATGAATGCTTGGAGGTACTACGACCCCTTTTGGTGAGCGAAGATTTACGAGGGTAGGGAGTTGGTGATCTTCGGGCAGCTGGCTTACCCTTGTTTGGAAGAGATCCACGAACTTGACGCTGAAGTGTTGCTCCAATTCGGGGTATTTGCGAATCAATGCTGCAAGCTCACTAGACTTGCATAGAACAACCTCTTTAATCTTTGTGCCATCAGCTTGTTTCATCACGATTGCCTGCTTGTCAAGCTCAATCATCGCGATCAGCTGTTGGGGATCCATCTGCTCGAACTTTGTCTCGGCTTCGATCACAGCTGCTTCCCGCTTAGCGCGAGTGGCTTCTGCATCCTGAAGTCGGCTTCTGACTTTGGGAACTTCTTCGCGAAGTACCAAGTCGACAAAGTGTGTGCAACTGCGTTCGGCCTGGGCTATCACATGTGACGTTAGCAAGCTGGCGTTATGTGTCTTCCACTCTGTCCACTGAAGAGACACACGCTCCTCGAAGAAAGCGAATGCACGTTTTTGGTGCTCGGCTATGAAGCTTTGACACTCAAGTGCATGCTTGCGTCGAAGTGAAAGCCATGCGGCGTTGATGTCATACTGCATGTCGGCATCCAAACCCTCATCGATGTCACCCACTGGCTTTGCAATTGCTTCGTAATGTTTGGGCCACTGCCACTTGCGATTGCTTTCTTCTTGAAACTGCTTCATAATGTCACCGTTTCCGATGATCTTGGAGTACTTGTGATGAAGCTCGGAGTGCGTAGCCCAATGTCCCAAGTCCTTGCGGAAACCATGTCTCCACTTCTGCAGCTCAGATCGCAGACTGGGGTCAATGGAATCGAGGATCTGTTGCGGACTCTGGAACACACGGGCCTCCTGTTGTCGTTCAGAAGTCTGGGCACGAAGCAATGCAGTTTGTTCTTGAAGCAATGCAATTTGTTGAGCCATGAGAACCGTAACATCGGGAGGCAACGGATTGTTGGGGGACCCGCCCCTGAGTCTTCCTGCAGCAGTAAATAAAGGGTCCCGCGTCATAGAGCGAGATCTCGAAAGATCTGCTGCACTGATGAGACAGGGCCGGTCAGACCTACGCAGTGCTGGATTGGCTGATGTTTCCATGGCGACGCTTCACAAGAATGTACACACACTTCTCTGAGTGTGAAGCTATCAAACCAGGGCACGAACGGGCAGCCGTTTTAGCACCAGGCCACTGTTTAAGAACCGGTTTCGCCCCTTGTGGGCTCGTTCAGCTTTCTGGCCCTTGTGCCAAAAGCTGCCGTGACATGTCGTCTTGATGCTCGTCGTGAATTGTTTTAAATTTAAAACAATTCACGACGTGTTTTAAATTTAAAACAATTCACGACGAGCATCAAGGAGAGCTGCGTTCCAAACACGGGTCTTGCCCGTGGAGCTGAACCCAGGCATGGTCCGACAAAGCTTTGGCAAGGGCGCCATGGAGGGTTGCGACGCGCTCGAGGACGATGTAGGTATGGTCGCCTTGCTCTCTTATCTCTCGTGCAAGACCTCGTGTTCGGTGCCAGCGTCGTCGGTCCAGACGTAGCTGCTTTCGCTGCGTACAATCGGCGAGCGAACGGCAGGAGCGGGGCAAGCCGAGGCCGCGAGCGCAGCCCCCCGAACATGGCCTGTTCGGGAAACATGGTCGAACGCCCCAAGTGCGTCGACCGACAGGACCGTGGTGCAGGGATTGTACTCGGTGGCGTTCTGGAGGTGCTTATAGACCGCCTCGGTGCCGTGCGTGCTCAAGCCGAACTGTATAGGGCATGCATGCCACCTGGAGTGTTTCGGCAAAGTGCTGGGCCAAGGCATGGGCGACGAGGCGGCGAACAACGTCCTCGACCCCAGGGCGCGCACACGGCCATTCGGGCCATTCGGCTTCCGGAGCGCGACGAGTCAAGCCGCGCCGCTGCCAGGACAGGCGCCGGCCCATCAGCGTTGGAGAAGTCGGGGTAAGCGAAGGTGCTCGAGGTTGGCGGCTGGGATCCCGGAGTTCAGCGAGCGTGGCTTCGTTCCGTCGGCGAGCGGCTCAACCGTGAAGGCCACTCGCCGCGACGGAACGCATCTGCACGCCGCTCGAGCTCGGCGGGTTCGATGCGCGACTGGCCGGCCTCTCGGTGCAGGAGCATGCCAGGTGTTAACAGCTTCCAGCTGCGCGCTGTGTCATCCGGCTCAGCTCGCGTCCGCAGCGCAAATCGGAGGATGCCTCTGCATGAGCTGGGTCGGAGCGCTTTGGAGCGTGAGTGCATCTGACGGCGCAGCTCAGATGCAAGATCTCGTCGAACTGCTCGAGGCCGAGGCGCACGTCTGTGGATGCAGCGCTCACACGCTGCTCCGCTTGCATCGGAGCGGCAGCGGCAGCGGATGGGGCGGCGACCGGCGCCGAGGCTCCTGAATCCTGTGTCCGCATACCAGAAGGCCCAGTAGTCCGAATATCTGTCTGCCAGGCCTCACGCATGGCTGCGGCAGTGGAGTTGCCAACGGCATCATCGGCTGCATCCGGCTGCGAATGGCTGCGGCGTAGGACGTGGCTGCCGGCGGCAACTCGGGGAAAAGCAGTTCTGGTGATGGAGGCTCTGGCTCTGGCTCTCAAGTGGTTGAATTCTGGATGGATTGATCGACATCCTGGTGCGAGAATTGTGCTCCTCCAACTTGCTTGTGTTGCAGTGCATGACAGGCTTGTTCGGCTAATGTGCCCACATTCACATTGCACTGCAGTCGAACATCACACTTCCGACCTCCGGCCAATTCAATTTTCTCCAGAATGTTGCTGTGCTGGCCCAAGCCTGATACCCAGCAAAACAGCTGGTTGCAGCACTTGGTGCAGGCAACAAGGAAAATCCTATTCTTCCTACGTGAAACATTTATGCATGACTATGCGTGGGCTCATGCGCAACTTCCGCAAACTAACCATCTCTGAACAATTGTCTTACGAGCTACGGTCATGAAGAATCAGATAAGTTGGCAGAGTCCATGGCATGACATGGCCTTGGCGCCGTCGGCGGTACCGCAGAAAAAGCAAATTGCCACAATGGACATTCTGGTGAGACAGTGCCACGTCTCACGCTGCCTTTGCAGCCTTCGCCGCGGCCATTGCCGCAGCGGCATTCGGGGCTGACAAAAGTGCCTGGGAGGTCAGGAAGGGAAAGATGGTCATGCTATGCATAACGAAGTTGCGCAAAAGAAGTCATGTAAGCCTGCAATCAGTCCGGATATTGCACTGACACCTTGACACTAAAATGGCTTCCCGCCGCCAGAACATGCCAGAACACAAAACGTGAATGCAAGCGCAGTGATGTTAAAATCCTCAATGAGCGGATCTGAGAAAACCCGTAGTCGTCCAGGGCACAGCGAGGCGCTCTCGGAAGATGGAGCCAAGCTCCTCGCAGTTCTTCCGAGTCCAGACTGAATCTGGAACCCGACGTGCGAGGTTGCCATGAAAGTATAAGAAAGTATCTGTGTGTCAACTGATCATCTCATTGTACTGGCTTCAGAAGTTGTTGCCTCTAGGCCCCAATTTCGTGTTGAACAGACTGGAGCAAGGCGAGACCACCAGATTCGCTGTTGCCAGATCCGTGCCCAGCATAGCTTCTGGCTCGGTCACCCCAGCAGCCCAGACCCGAATAACTACACAACCAGTGTAGACAGAGCACCGCCTCCATCATGCTCTTCACAAGATCTGTGTTTGACCTCGGCCCATCTTAGGCAAACTTATGAACGTCCATCGGTCCACGTCGCCGTCCATGTACAGCACGTGCCATACTGCATGCATGCATCACGCATACACAGCCATAAACACTACAGGGACACACCAAAGTCATGCAAGTAGGCTTGGAAAGCAATGTGCAAGCGATGGGTTCAAAACCATCCGTGCATACATACAAACATAGATGCACAGATAATACATACATACATACATACATACATGCATGTATGCATGCATATATACATGGATACACATATACATACATGGATACATATACATACATACACACGTACACACCTACAAACCTACTTCCCGCGCTACCTACCTACGGACGTTCTTGCGTACATGCATCCACGCAGAATACATTAATGCATGGATGCCTAGATGTCTAGAGTCTAGATGCGCAGATGCATAGATGCATGCATACGCTAGCAGCAGCGTGCGATCCGGGATTCTGACGATTGCTCCTGGACATCAGACACGATGAGCTGCACGAAGCGTGGGAGGACCTCGCAGATTCTTCAAGTGCTGAGGTTCCGAGCTGAACGAACTATCAGAACGCAAACAGGAAGGTACGGCTGAGGCAGCCGTGGACTCCAACGCCTTCTCTTCGAAGTCCCTCCGCAGTAGTTCTGACCGCCAGCTGTCCATCTCCACCTGGCATGGGCCATGCTGGCGTGCGCCAGGTCTGCGATATGATTTTAATATATGATCGCGAAAATGGAACACATCATATATCATATACGTCATCCAACATACACCATCTATCGTCGACTGTCGATTATCTCACAGAAAGTGTATACTAGAAGTTTTTAACATAGTATAGAGTAGTATGAGATACTAAAATACAACAAAATACTGTAAAAAAAATAAAACAAGCTACACCGCATACTTAAGTAGTTTATACAACACAGGACCACTCAATGTATGACATCGTACAAACATGTACAAAATGATCATGATCATAATACATACAATGATGGAGTAGTGTGTCCAATACAGATCATTTCACAGTTTGAAACACTGTATCACTATACAAGATAAGACAGTATAACATAACACAATCAAACATGATACAGCACAGCAGCATGTAAACATTATGACATCAGGAAATATAATACACAGGATGGAATATAATATCATACAATACAAACTGATGTATTACAGCACAACAGAACATAAAATCTTTCAATACATACGATGTAGTGTGATATGACACAACATGATGCACAAAAATAATAAAACATGCAATGCATGCAATATGATACAATGTGGTTTGATTGTGGTACGAGTAGAAATGTTTAAAAATACTACGCTGAACTAATATGGCATGATTTGTTATAACGATGTTTGCAACAACACTAGTACGAATGGTAACAATACAAAAACGTAACTACACATGTACATACACATCACGCAACAAAGTGCATACAGAAATAACTATAGTATGTGGTTCACTACATAAACCATACAATGTAGCCTGGCACGACATGATATAATATAGTATGGTGTGATCTGACATGAAATGCCATGGTGTCATCTAATATGACGCAGTGTTAGGTATAAATGTGTATATATACATAAATATGTATATATATATATATATGTATAAATGTATGACCCGGGGTATGTGTGTGGATGTATGCATATATGTACACATGTATATATGGCTATGTACGACCTAAAACCCTCGACATAAATATGTAAGGATGCATGTGTAGCATAGATGCACATGCAGATGCATATATATATATATATATATGTATGTATGTATGTACGTATGTATATATATATATATATATAAGTATGTCGTACATGCTATGTTAAAGCATGAAACACAGATAACATGTGATACACTTGCTACCTCTTATATACACATATATGTATGCATATACATATGCAGATACATATGTATGTATACAGACATATATATGCATATAGATACATACAGACATACATGCATCCATCCATATGTATGTATACATATATGATACAATATATGTGTATATACATATACATATCAGACACATACACGTTTTTCTATATATAGGCACAACTCTGGCAAGCCGAGGCCACCTTTACTCCGTTGACCGTGCATTCGGCACGGGGACAAAGGATGGTGACCTGGGCTTTCTGCGGGTTTAGGGATCGGGGCTTAGGATTTGGGGCTTAGGGTGAGGCCCGTTCCTTCCGGCAAAACCCGCAATCAAGAGCTGGAGGAGCATAAGAGCTGGCAGCAGATGCAGCATGGCGGCTACGAGTGCAATGTGAGAAGCCAACGTCCTCCTGCCTGAACATCAAGGACCGCCGCACCCATCGCATCACTCTTCGGCAAAGCGAACGGGTCGCAAAAAAAAGAAGAGCATCGAACCCGAGAGTAGAGCCTTGAATCCGAGACCTCCGGCCGCATTCACTGAGAGTCGCACATTTAGCTTCCCCAAGGCCTTGGCCGTGGCCATGTCGCGCCACGCCTGCGGATTTTGGAGACGTGCGTTTCCGACCGCAGACAAAACAAAAACAGAGACGTCACAGCCAACCTCTGGTTGCCAGCCTTCCTAGCTTGCCTACAGTATAGCACCACAGTAGCCGCCTGCTAGGAACTCTGGCATTTTACGGCTTTCACATCGCCTGGAGCTGGTCGGCCTCTGCCACCGATGCGGCCTTGCTGTTCTTAGGCTGGTTCTGATCGGGCTCTCCGCGTGCGCTTGAGTCTTGGATTCAAGGATTGAGGATTTTGGTGCGAGGTCGGTAACCCGGTAGTCAATAGTAGTGCAGGGATTCCGGGCATATCCGGGCTATGGATTCATCTGTGCACGGCTGTAAGTAAACAGTTCCGACAGTCCTCCAGCTGCTTGACCCGAGCAAGCGCGTCTTGCGCCATGGAATCCTGCGAACTTGGCATCCGTTCCAGGAGCTAGCGGCTAGTCAAGGGCACAGCGAAGGGTCCAGGGCATGGGGCTCGGCCCACGAATATCTGGCTCCACCAAAAACGCATGTGGGCAGGGGTGTCTAATCAGATGAGGTCTACGACCAGACCGGAGAACGACAGCCAGTCTCAGAGACACCAGGTAATCACCCGGCACCTTGGGGTTCATCTCCAGCTACAAAACCCAAATATAGGGGCCTTAGTAATTTGAATAGGGTTTTGGGGCCCATTATCAAGGAACCCCCAAGATAGTATAGGTAATTCCATCCAAGCAAACTCTAACCCACACTCTGGTACTCGGCCCCTCCTCGGCTTGAACCGCCTGATGGCCCACTTTGGGGCGTTCCACCTGGTTCGGGATCCAGTTTCCGAACAGAAAGTAGACAGAATTCAGATAGTCTAACAGTCTAACAAAGTCAGATGCAGCGAAACCACTGCTCCTGGTCAAAAACGCACGAGCACTCATCACAAGCAAGTGCAAACCCCCACAAACGAAACCAGCTACTTGCGATCACGCCGTTGCTGCTACTGATAGATCCGCTGCAGCTGCTGCTGACCCCTCCTCCTCATCCTCCTCCCACTCCCACTGCCGCTGCAAATGCCACTGCAACTCCCACTTCTATTTACTACTTACTGCATACTACTTGCTAATACTTACTGCCTACTACCTGCTAGTTACTACTTCTTACTACTTACCACTGACCACCTACTACAAACTACCGATGATTCGATTACTGCTTACTACTACTACTACTACTACGACGACGACTACTACTACTGCGACTACTACTGTGACTTCTACTACTACTACCACCACTACGGCTACTCCTACTGCTACTGCCACTGACACTGCCACTCACTGCCACTGCCACTGATACTGCTGCTTCTACTACCACTACTGCTGCTGCTGCTACTCCTACTACTGCTGCTGCCACCAGCAGCAGTGCTGATAGTAGTACAGTCATCGTCGTCGTTGCACTAGCCGTGGTCCTAGTGTTAGGGTACTGGTCTTCGTTACTGCTGGCTGCCATTCTGCGGTCATGAAGCAACCGTGCCTGGGTCCCGCAGCTCACACCCTTCGCCGGTGTCGTTTGAACCTTGTGTGCGGTTTGGCTTCCCGGCCCTTTCAAGTGGCCTCTAAAGCACTCAGCTTTCCAAGGTTCTAAATCTCTCGGATTCGTGCGTGTCCCCCGAAATTGCTTTGGGGCTGCATCAACTGCCAGCTAAAGACCACAATGGTTGTCGGTGATAAGCTCAGACTTTGCCTCAGTCCCGAAAGAGCCGTGCCCTGCACTCCCAAAGATCCCTCATCCCTTAGCATTTCGGACAGAAAGCCGCCACTGCTGACAGAGCCGGAGGGGTCGTTTGAGACGATGACCTCAAGGGCGTTGCTGGGATTGGGGGTCTACACATCCCCTCCCACTCCAAAACCGAAACATCCTCGCTTCAGGCTGTGAGATCCCAGGCTCCACGGGAGAGGCCGAAGGCTGGGTCTGAAAGCTGACAAGTGAAGGGATGTCAATGTGAAGGGCCTCGAGCTGCCTTCATAGTCGAGTCGAGGCGAAGCGACGTGCGAGCCAAGGGTAGCAGAGTACACGAATCAGTTGAAGTTGAAGGTGCTCGGAGGCTCTGCGGCATCCGTGCTACTTGGCCACCCCGCTCGCAGCAGGCTGCCGCCTGCAGTTTCTCCTGGGTTGCACAAACTTCACGCTTCCTTTGCCGGCCATTCGTTGTTGCGTTTCAGACAATTCTATGGTGTGTAAGTGCAGAAGCTGTTCCTGTTACAGTCAGCCGAGCTTGATGTTGCTTGCTCCTCTGTCGATGCCAAGAGCTGCAACAGCACGATGCATGTCGCGGGCCTCTGTTTGCGTCGCTTCGGCCTTCACTGTCGGGGCGACATCGGCCTGAAATATGCGGGATGACAGGATGACTAGAAAAGCCTTGAGTCTTGAGGAGTGCATCACCAGAACTTTGGTAGCATCGACCGAGATGGTGTGTCACTCGCTTCTTTTCCGAGCCTGTGTCTGAACTTCTGCTTCAGACCTCGGCGGATGGCCTTCTGCCTCGCACCACAAGTGACGTAAGAGCGACTTAGATGCATCAAGTTGTCACCATACTTCCTCTTGCGTGCTGCTAACGGTGGCTTCAGCTGCTGTAGCTTCAGGCTCCCGTGGATCTCTGGCCTGTGTTTGCGTCTGCGCATGGAGCATCTCTGGTACTTGAGCTGCCTGTCATGGAAGAGAAGAACCAAGAGCAAACCTCACACAGCAAGCCAGGCGTTAGACTCCGAGAACAGAAAGCATGCCTCCGTCTGAGTGTCTGCTTGCACAGCCGGGGCTGCTTCGGCCTCGCTGACTGTCAGGATGCAGAAGAATTGCTAGCCTTTAGATTTCTCAATGCAAGTCAATGCGAGGGAGGCGGTTCCTGAAGCAGCAGGATATTCTGTGGTACCACAAGCCAACAGCCGCTGCCTCCGTCTGTGTCTCGGATGACAGCAAGGGTACAGGCCTCTCCGCCTGGAACGAAACTTACATCGCAGAGCGTAGAATCGGCGGGCTCTCGGAATGCTGGTAGGCTTTAATCCGTGACAAAACAAACCGGCAAACTCGTGCATGTCGCCTACATATTTCTAAGGTTACGACCCTACCACTTCCCGCATGGAAACAGTCGACCAACAGTAATTGCCAATGCTGAGTCCGCAAGAACCTGCTTGTGTGTATGTATGCATGCATGCATGCATGCATGCATGTATGTCGGTAAGTCTGTAGGCAGGTGGGTTGGTGGGCGGGTGGGTGTTCGATCGGGTTCCATCGCATCCATCCATCTATCCATCCATCTGAGCAGAAAGAAGCTTCCTTTTCGGATGATGGCACTCATGAGTCTGTTGTGGTGTGTATGCTTCCGCCATCGCGGCCTCTGCCGAAAAACCATGTTTAGTTCCTGTATGTTTGGATGTATGTATGCATGCATGTATGCATGTATGTGTACATGTACATGTACATGTATATGTCTATGTATATGTATGTGCATATGTACATATGCATACGTGCATATGCATGTGTGCATATATGCATGTGTGCATGCATATGCATGTGTATATGTATACGATACGATATATATATATATATATATATATATATATATATATTATATATATATATATATACACACATATTTATCTACTTATTTTGGATATATTTGGATTTATATTTATGTATACACATATACTTACATATACACCAGTACCAATTCACATGGAGGTGTCAGGGACGAAGAAACCGCCGGAAACATCCTGGAGCCGGAGTCACTCTTTGACGAAGCCAGCAGAGCCGACTTGGGGAAGACACGCGCGAAGGTGAAACGGAGTTCTATGGCCGGGAGCTGACGGAAAGAGTAGCATCCTACCCCAGTTGCTGTAGTTTTGTAGTGTAGAGTGTAGGATCCTGCTCGCCTCTTCCTTCGAACCCCGCAATGTGCACTAAACGGAAAACAACGAGGGACTAGCTGAAAAACCGAAGATCAAATATCTTCGGTGCCCGCACATGCTGCACATCGATTCCGATCAGCATTGCACGTAGATAGTACCCCCATGCACTCCTCAAGTGAGTTCGTCTGATTGCTAGAGCGACTACTCCCGCACTGGCTCAGACCGTCTGCTCAGTGACAGGATCTAGTTCCGTCTCGCCCAAGACGCCCGCCCGATCATGAACAGGATCTTCAATCCGGCTTTCAAAGCTTTGCAGGTGCCCATCCATGTCGCTTGCAAGCGGGTATGACACCTGTCGATCTCCCATGAGATCATCTGCACTAAGGCGGCTGGAGCCCCACTCTTCAAGGGCCTGGCCGATCCTGTACTTTGAGACCTCTAGGGTTTCCTGCTGCATCTTGTGCTTCTCCTGGTGATGCCCGGACAGGCTTAGCTGTGACAACGTCTAAGGTTCTATGTTTCAGGTTTCCTGCACAAGAGTCGGCGAAACCGTTTCTTTAGATTCTAAGCGTCTCTGACATACTCGTCCGGGAAGAGATGGCGCAGCACCTCGGTTTGATCCAGGGTTCCGTTCTGGTCGCTGTCAAACCTTGGGAGGCACCAGTGCTCACGCACACACTCGCACGGCCAGGGCTTCAGTTAATACAATCCTACATCTCACGGATGCCTGAGCCCTAAACCCAAACCCTGAACCCGAAATCCTTAAACTGCCAGAGAGTTACATAGTGAAGAGCTCGGCTGCAGCCTCAGCACTGACGCCAATTCCTGAGAAGATGTTCACGGCTCAGAGGCGAAAAGCCGAAGGTGTGCTTTGGCTTCGGTCGTTTTAGGAGCTTAACTCCGAGCCCGGTGACATGCCAACCAGCGACACTCGGCTGCTACTACTACTACTACTACTGCTACTACTACTACTACTACTACTACTACTACTACTACTACTACTACTACTACTACTGCTACTACCACTACTACTACTCCTACTGCTACTGCTACTGCTGCTACTGCTACTGCTACTACTGCTACTGCTACTGCTACTGCTACTGCTACTGCTACTACTCCTACTGCTACTGCTGCTACTGCTACTGCTACTGCTACTGCTACTGCTACTGCTACTGCTACTGCCACTACTGCTACTACTGCCACTACTGCTACTACTGCTACTACTGCTACTACTGCTACTACTGCTACTACTGCTGCTACTGCTGCTACTGCTGCAACTGCTGCTACTGCTACTGCTGCAACTGCAACTGCAACTGCAACTGCAACTGCTACTGCTACTGCTACTGCTACTGCTGCTACTGCTACTGCTACTGCTATTCAATTGGACGCTGTGCGAGCGGGCTCAGCACATTGCGGGCGTTTGCCGCTGTGCACTCACCTGGGTGTGAAACTGACTCACTGACCCTACTGCTACTGCTACTGCTACTGCTACTGCTACTGCTACTGCTACTGCTACTGCTACTGCTACTGCTACTGCTACTACTACTACTACTACTACTACTACTACTACTACTACTACTACTACTACTACAACTACGACGACAAGCGGGACTTTCAAATTCTCGGCCGCCTAATACACAACGATACAACGCACGCATCCTCACTAGAAGGGCCCCGAACAAAAAACCTGATGTAGTCCGTAGCTCAAAGCCTTTGGGGGCTGCTCGCTTGATTCTGCTGGCTGCCTATAGTGGACTAAATCTTGCAACATTAAGCCTCAAAGTGATTTTTCAAGAAACAACTCTGTCGTGCACACTAGGGATCTCATTTGGCGCACCAGCTCGATAAACTCGATGAGAGCAAGGCTGCCATCGCCATCGGCGTCGGCATACTCGAACAGCATCCTCGTTGTTCTTGCATCTACTTCTCTACTTGGGGTAGTCATGGTAATCTGGCGACGACGAGTAGTAAAATGACAATCGTTGGCAGCACCATTCTCAAAGCCAGTGATACTAGTCTTGTTGCTATGCCTCTCGTCCTTATGGCCAGCAAAACACTACTATACTCATTCTTACTCCTACCATGATCAATTGATTTGCAGTTCAGAACCTCGCGCAACTTACGAGTATTTAGGGAGCCCTACACTAAGTCCTAGTATTTAGGGTTTTCAACAGAGTTCCTCCCTTGTTCTCTACGTTTGCGATCGAAGCGCTGGAGATCAGCGGCCGTGTAGCCCCATTTGTTGAGGCAGCGGCGTACCCGAGTTTGGAGGAGGACCTTCCGCCTTGAAAGCGAGGGCTTAGGGTTTAGGGGTTTGGGGTTTAGGTTTAGGGTCTAGAGCCTAGAGCTTGTAGTGCACAACCAAGCGTGTTTTGGGTACTTCCGCGAATCGGCGCGGCGAATGCATGGGAGTACATGGGATGGTTACAAGGACGCTTAGCAGGGCAGGGGGTCGGCCTAGCCCCCTCCCCCTACCCCCCTAACGGTCCCTATGAACTTAGGATTGAATGCACTTACAAGCGGGATTTACGGTGCTACGTTGCTCGGGCTTGGCGCCTTGAGGGTCTGCTTTGAGTTACGTGGCATTCGAGCACACAGTAGTGTCGGCCCTTTGGGCGCATCAGACATAAATGAGACTTCCGGGCTCAGGGCTTGAGATGTGGAGATTGCCCAGGCCTCGTAAGCCATGACTGCGTGAACTCGTGGCCGACAATGCCCACAGGCAGTGCCAGGAAAAGGACGCTGACGAAGGTCAGCACTGAGACGGAAAGGTAGCCCCAGGGAGACTTTGGAAAGAAGTCGCCGTAGCCCACGGTCGTTATTGTCACGATGGAGAGCCAAAGAGAATGATTGAGAGTAGGGATGTTATCCTGCGATTCCACCAAGAAGATTACGGTCGCAGAGAACAAGACCATGACCGCTAGCATGTAGAATAAGACCGGCAGAGCCTCTGCTGAATTGACGCATGCATCAATCAGGAGCCGGAGTGAGTCGAAGTAACGCAATAGCTTGAGAAGGCGCGCCAGCGGCAAGAAGTACAGCAACGTGAGTTGGACGATCTCCAGTCCAGAGCTGGGATTGAGGCCTTGAACATCGAAGAGGCCTTGAACGTCAAAGCCGAGCATCGCTCTGAGAGGCAAGCCCAAAGCGGAGAGCATGTCGGCCCAGTTAAGCGGATCCTTCAAGTAAGATCTCTTCGATGGTGCAGATAAGAAGCGGCACAGGAACTCCGTCAGGAACACTGTGTCGAAGCTAATCTGCAGAATCCCAATGAGGCGTTGGTTTAGAAGAGGTGTCGTCGAAGACTCTAAATTCGAAGTCAGCACTGAGAAGATGACCAGCAGCTTCAAGCAGAGGGAAACACCCCAGGCCCAGGTGCTGGAGGTTGGGTCGTCCAGAAGCTCCCACACATAGTCTGCACGGCTTCGATATACAAGACGCAGAAGTGGTTGGATCCGCTTGTCCGCGGCACTCAGTGTGCCGAGATCTCGCGTGACCTCCCTGGCGTGAAGCTTCCAGGCTACCTTCAAATCCATAGATCGCACGGGCAGCATTTGCCTGGACCTTCCCCGGTAGAGCCTCCCTGATGATGCTTGGGCATCGCCGTTATCCTCGCGGTTCCTCGACTCTGCAACACTGCCGATCGCCCTAAACGCTTCCAGTAAGGGCATAGCCTTCTAAGATGGGATGGAAGATGAAGCATGTAGGATCTGCGTGAACCCGACATTCGGTGGAGGATTGCCAGTAAACAGGGCTTGACGATGCCACGACGACACAGACAGATAGAGAGACAGACAGCGCGAGACAGACAGCCAGACAGAAGACAGACACAGACAAACACAGACAGACACAGACAGACTCTATACAGACGTGACATGCATGGCATGCAATGACATTCAGGGCATATGTGGCATTCATCAATGAATGCATAGACCGTACGCAGTCTGCGACATCTGACAACATGCTTCGACTCGGTTCATCAGCCTATCAGCAAAATTGTGCTCTGGACATTTTGCATTAGGATAAAACCCTGCCCTCTGTCAGCGTCCTGTCGGAGGACACAGACGAATGAGCGCCAGAAGATTCGTTTGATACTTGGCTCTGCCTTCCGGGGACCTGGCATCAAGACTGTCAAAATGGACAGGGTCTCAAATCAGTAGAACACCACCGACGAATTAAGAACATGAAATGCATGGATCCGCAGAATGAGTAGAACATCATCCCCATCTCTGACAAGAGCCCTTTCCCGCCTCAAGGAGCTTTGGTGATGGCTCCGGTACGCTGGGAATTGGCATGGAGCTCGCCTCCAGGCCGTTCTGCGTGACTCCCTTCCTGGGCAAAGCTTCGGCCGAAGACACTTTGGGGGGAGCTTGAAGCTCAGAAAGCTTTCTTGCAGGCCCCAGTCTCCAGCTCGTGATCTCACTGAGGCAGAGGTCCATTTGCAAGGAGAGGCGGTCCAGGCGGGCCTCGACGCCAGCCAAGCCCAGGCTGTTGCTGCGGAAGACGGGGGGCTCACGCTCTGGCCCATGCGGCTTTGTCGCATGGGACATCGTGAGGCCCTGAGTGGCCCTGTGGCCTGGGGCCCTTGAGCTATGGAACTGAGCCGAACAGCTTAGGAGCAGGCGCTTCTATGGACACACCAAGTGTCTAATCCGATAGCCCGATCCTGTCAGCAGCTCGAACGACATCTCCCTTCAATGCGCACGGGACATCTCTTGCAAGGCACCTCTGTCTGCACTTCTGCTGCCACACTCGCCACTTCAGGAGCCTCTGTCAACGCGGCGCCACCCGGTGCCCACCGCAAAGGAAGGCTACAGCAGCGTTTGATCATCACAGTCGATGGGAGAAGAGGGCTTGGCCAACTGTATCTTCTGTGCCTCTGTCTGCACCGAAGACGATGCCACATCAGGCTCCGCCTACCCAAGCCCAAGCCAAAACAGGGGATTCAGCTCTAACATCCGAATGTCGACGTCTTCGAGGCGCCTTCGTTTGCACCTCTGCGGCCATCGTCACAATGGAGGTCACCGCCTGCCACCGAGCCACCCTATGCAGGCGTGCTTGGTGCGAACTTGCGGCCGCCGTGTTCCCGAAATCCCCAGAACTCCAGGCTCTGAAGCATCTGCCCCACCAACATCTGATACTTGTATCCCGGAATAGACATTCCAGGAGCTCAAGGGTCGCGTACAACATAGAGTGCTAAAGCCCGGAGCCTGGACAGAAGAAGTCTTGCGGGACGGCTCAGCCTGGACCTGGAGAGCTTTATAACTGGGACGATGCTGGGATTGGGATTTTGGGGACTTAGGGTCTCGTCGGAGGTACGTCCCGGCGGCATTCCAAGCAAGCATTGATCAGTATATATGTATATTATATATATATATATATATGTATACATGCATATATATATATATACATACATACAGTGCAAGCATCAACAATGCAAGCTCAATCTTCCTGGACTGAAGATAATGTTACATCAAGTCGGGCCATACAGGACAAGAACTCTCAAGCATGCAAACATCAAGTGTCGAGCTTGAAGCGAAACACTGCAACTGCTTGGCAAAGCGAGAGAAACCTGAATTTCTGCGGCCTGCGCATCGGCGAAAGTCGGCAAGAAGGTTGCCGGAAGGCTTGCCTTGCGGTGGCAATAGGAAGACAACATGAATGACTGAGCGGATCTGAAGTAGTGATTGAATTGCAGGCCCAATTTTCTATTATGGTCAGGCGACTGACGTTCCCACCCTTTCCGCGCGGGGGGGGGAAGGGGGCGGCTGGCGTGTGCGGAGAGGGGTCGGGGCCGTTGGGGCGGCCAGTGGTCTCAGAGAGGGCCAGGATCGTGCGCAAGCCCTGCGCAAGCAACAAACCCTATAATGTAGCGCTGCACTGCATGCTCCTGTTTTATTCAGCTGAACCTCTACTTTCAACATCTTTCAACCCTACACCCAACCCCAAACCCCGCCTATATGCAGGCTCTAAACTAAAGCAGAACATGAACCGTCAATCCTAACGAACCTACACCCCCCAAACCTCCCCCTTGTCGACTCGAAGCCCCATTCCGTTTAAAACCCTAAACCTCAAACTCAAAAGCTAAAGCAAACTCAAAACCCCAAAACCCCCACGACAACCTACAGGGGAAGAGGGACCGCACACGCCACCATACATGGGGGGGCATCCCGGACCGTGGACCTTTGGGGGGGCCGCGGAGCACGTGACCATATATAGATTGTGTTCGTGTTACTGGCCCACGTGCAGCACCCTCGTGGTCGTGAATAAGGCATACGGCCTAGGGAGCGGAGGGAGGATGATGCATTAATGCTCATCGCCCTGAAACTAACGCGACCAGGCTCAGCAGTGACAATGATGATCACAACACTCACGTTACTCATCACAAGGACGGTGATGATAGCGACGATCCTATCTGCGCAGTTGTAATGGCAGCCATAATGCGATACTAATTGCCACGAGACTAATGGCAACCTCTGATAACAGTCTTACGCGCGTAAATGATACAAATAGAATTAGCTGCTGAAGTGTCCTGCCCACCGGGGGCTATATCATACGAGTCCGGTGACATATCAATGGGACAGAGATTACAGACCTCCCGCAGCAACAGATTTAGGCTGCAAGAGACTTTTCAAGGAGACACCACGCGCTGCAGCAGCGAGGCCTCTGTTGACACGGAGCTGCGAGCCTTCGGGGAGCATGGGGCTGCTCTGAGCCGCTGGGGTGAGGCATCCTACATTGAGGCTTCCTTGGGAATTCTCCATGAGTTGGAGGGTCTGGGTTCGAGGATTGAGCCTGACATGACGTCCCCTTAGCCCTTAGTTTTTGGTCAAAGTAGGCCCTGCAGGCTGACAGACGAAGGTTGGAAGTCAACAACCAAAACCCATGAAGACTTGAGAACCCATGCAGGACGCGACTTTTCACCATCAAAGAGCTTAGCCTCAGCCATCCATAGCGCATAGCCCGTGTAGGCTCGAATACAAAGGCGAGCACGGCCACAATTTGGGCCAGAGGCGCGTATGTTGTGCATGCTTCTCGGATCCTTGTTCAAGCTGCAGCTGTCCCGTGCTGTGGCCGCGCGTGATGTCGGGGGAGTCCTCCTTCTCAGCATGATCTGTGGTCGCAATCGACATGGCAATGGAGTGCTTGCAATGTGCGATCACAACACTGACGACCTCTTCACGGCAACATGCCCATGCCGAGGACGAAGGGGACAACATGCGGATCTAAACACAGCTGCTTCCTGCTTCGCACAGAAATGCGCAGAATACATTGTCAGTGCCTGCGCCCCTCGTGCAAAATGATATCGGCTTCTCTTCCACCAGCATACGCCACGCAGTGACATGCAGTGGCAGCTCAGGTATCCAGAAAACTCACGATACAGGCAGGCAGTGTCTGTTTGGCTTCCTGCACAGCGCTTCTGCTTATGTTGTCACAATTCAAAACTCCGAGATGCATCAGCCGAGGACAGTGCCGCACGATTCCTCGCAGGCCTAGGTCCGTGATCGGAGTGCTGCAAACCTCCAGCTCCAGGAGTCGCGGCAGCGCCGCGCTGATGCGCAAAGCGATGTCGTCATCAATAACACAGCCAGAAACATTGAGCGAAGAGAGCGTGCAGCTGTGACAGATGTTAAGAAGCTGTGATGCGGGAGCCATCGAGTCCTCGAGGCTCAGCGCAGTCAGGTTCTGCAGACAGGCTATGGGGGCAATATTGTGGAGCAGCTTACATTCTTCCAGATGCACAGCATCCATGTGGAGCGGCAGTGCTTCCAGAAGCCTGTCTGTAATGGAGCAGCGAGCACCCCCGCAAATCAGGCACCTCAGGTCAGCAAAGCTCTGCACGACGGGCAGGAGGTTGTCGTCGGTTACAGGACCCAGGAAAGATACATCCAAGGTTCGCAGGCGAACGGCTGGTGATGAGCAGAGCTCCGGCAACACTTGGCCCGTCACCTGTCGGCACTCTCGCAAGTTCAATTCTGACAAGGGAGCGCCACCCCGGATAATGGCAGAGACCCCTGCGTTGGTCATGGGACAATCCCAAAGGTCCAAGGAAGCGAGGCTGGGGCATTCGCGGCCCAAGAGTTCACACAGCTCATCATATACGCGACATCCCCCCAAGACCAGAGTTTGAATCGACACCAGCGTGCCTGCTTGGCCGAAAGCTCTCAGAAGGCCTTCAGCTGACAGGTTCTGGCAGCCCACCAGGCTTAACAAGGTGAGGGTCCGCCGGCAGTGCTGGAGCAACGTCCCCAAGCCTTCCGCATCGTTTAGGCGCACGCAGCCCCCAAGATACAAGGTGCGCAGCTGCGTGAAATGGCCGGAGATAGAGAGAAGCCGACTGCAACCCGCGAGCTTCAGGGATCTCAGCCTATCCTGTGCATCTTCGAAGAGAGAGGCCTGGAAGCGCTCGGATGGAAGCTGCTCAAGGCTGGACAAGTCCAGCGCCTCCAAAGCTGGGAGCTCTTTCAGGAGCTTCGCGAGGCTCTCTTCCAGGCGCAGGCGCGACAAGGAGAGGAAGCGGAGCTCTGGGCAGTTGCCTGTGATGCTTCTTGCCAGCTTATCCGCCTCGGCCTGGTCGGCTTGGGGCAGAGGATCTGCGTCCGAATGGCAGCCACTGACTCTTAAAGTATGCAACAATGGACAAGATTTGCACAAGAAGCGGATGGCACCAAAGCCGATTCCCGTGCAGCCGACGGCAGTGAAGCCCTGCAGCTGCGGACAGTTGTAGGCGATCGTTGAAACACTCGAAGGGCCGAGTAATCGCGCGCCATCCAAACAGATTGTGAGCAGCCTCGGGCCGTGGGTTCTCGCAAGCCGGCACACCACATCGTCTGTTACAGCAGAAGAGGCCAAGGAGTTCGAGGGCGATAGGGACAGGTGCTGCCAGAACAAGGGCTCTCTCGTGACGGCACGAAAAAGACGACAGACAGCCGGCACCTGATGCTGGATTAATCCGACCGTGTCACCAGCGTGCGACAGGATCACTGCCATCAGGTCCTTGTCCAGGCAGCTTGTTCCCGAATCGCTCCCACCGTCTGGCTCGCTTTTCACGATGTGCACGGCCTCTTCAAGTTCTGCGTCGTCGAAGATGCTCCAAGCAGCATCAATTCCGGAAGTGTCACGAAACGTGCTGCAGCCGTGAGTGGTTGACCCTACCATGGCCAGTGATGCGACGTCTTGAACGATGGCCCTGCTACTGTTCTAACAGGGCATACTACATCAGGAGTACTCAATGAGCACCAATGAAGGACCATGGGAATACAAGGTGCTGTGGCGTTATCATCTTCTCAGCCCCGTGGCAGTCTCTGAAGCTGCAGAGCCGCAACGTGACGGCCCCAGTTGCTTAGTCTTATAGTGAGTGTCAGACGTGTTTTTGCCAACTTTTGGGACAGCTGTTCCATGCCTTAGCCTCTGTCCCCGAGGCTTCGGCCTCCTCGGTGCCGGGCACAGGAGGCAAGCCGCACCTCGGATCAACCGGCGTGCGACAAGGACCCAGAATGACCCAAGCACGTCGACAACGCTGCTGCCACAAACCTGCATCATTCAAGGCGGCTGAAGTCGAAAGCACACGTGGCGACAGAGAGAGCAACTGTCAGCAGGAATGGCTCCTTTCTTGGTAAAAACTCTGCGTGTGAGACCCCGTGCAAACATCACTCACCTGCAAGACCAAAGAAGGGAGGGACATTACGCGACAAAGCAGTGAAAATTACCATGAGATAGGGGCCGCGTGGTTCTAAGGCCACGGCGGGCTGCAGGGAGGAGGTGGGGGCACCTGACCCGGAAGATCGCCACGTGCATCCATCTCCAGCCCCCCTAGGCCTCGAGACCCTGGAAGACCCTGGAACTCCTCACGATATATTAGTATTGTGGTGTGCATTCTCCTTTACTTTGCCTTAGTCTTGTACTTCATGTACTTGATCCCATCTAAAAACCTGTTTTTCGGGCCGAGGCCTTCTCCTCTTCGCCGCTGGAGCTCTCCTCAGAAGCCTCTGCCTGAGTTTCCGGTGGATTTCGCCCCAGACCCCGTGCTTCCGTTGTCAGGATATACGGCGTGAGGTTTAGGCTTTGGGGACCGGGTTGTTGGCCGCCCTGTTTCTCAGGAGGCCTCTAGGGTTTGACAACCTGTCGGAAGGTGCAAGGTTCAGAGTGTGGGGGGGCGGGGAAAAAGGGTTTCCCGAACACGAACCGGTGGATAACCCAACTTCTGCAGCAATCAGGAAAAGGCATAGTGGTGAGGTACACAAGATGGCTACAAACAACAGTGCATCATCCGCAACATATAACAACAAGCAAGCACATGTACGATCGCCAACGTTGAACAGATCTTGACACACAACGGGATTCAAACGGAGAGTTGAGGCTTCATGTTCTGAATGGTGCAGTGCGATTAGTGCGATACTGCCGCGCACCCCGTCATAGTGACCCACGGACGTTAAGATCTGGCAGGGAGAGCCAAGAGTGGCCGTGGAGAGGATGAGATCGAAAAACGCTACATTGATGCGGTCGCCTGCCGCCTGCCTGTAGAAAAGAATTAAATACATACATGACAAGGCCTCTTCACACATACCAACCAACAGCTACAGTGGACCGAAAAGAGGCTAGAAACGCAGCAGCAGCAGCAGCAACAACAACAACAACTACAAGAAGGAGGAGCATAGGTTTGCCATCTGCCATGCGGGATTGCACTTCGGGGAGCACAATGCCGTCAAGCTCATGTACTTGTACTTGTTGGCGACTTCGCAAGAAACCTCAACATTCTTTTAACCTGTCATCAACAAGGATTGCAAATCGAGCAAGTCGTGGCAAAGTCGTTGCTTTGCACGCCCGCAGGCTATGCTCTCACAATCTCAATCCCAATAATGGCTTCCGAACCACGGCCGGCTGGCCTGACTGGCCGGCGCACCCGGCTCAGCTGTCTTGTCGTGCCTGCTGCGGCCAAAGCCCCGACACACTGTGATGAAACCAAGTCCATACCCAGTCCCACAATGACAAGTTAACAACAAAACCCAACGACGCCCGGCCTCAGGGGCGACTGCTCCCTTGGCATACCGTTCAGGCCGCTGGTTGACCAAGATGTTTCACTGCATTCCACGCAGTGGCATATCTTATTTTCACTGGGACGCAGCACCGCCCTGGAAGTCTTACAACTGCAGCTGATGATGCGGCAATTCGGACTGTAGAACAACGCAAGTAGTTGAGCTACGACCTCATACCCGTAAGGTCCATGCCCATAGTCCACCATATCGAAGGCGACAGTCATGCCTTCAGCGCGTAAGCTCCCCCAGGTTCTGTTGTTGTCCTGTCTTTCATGCCTGTTCCTAGCATGCTAGTGCCCGCCGTGACCCCGGGTTCTGTGCAGACCGCATATCGCTGGTGCTTCGAAGCAAACACTCCGTTGTGTCGAAGGGGCAGCTTTGCCAGTTAAAAGCACAACCAACCCTCTGCACGCTTGTGCGATTGTAGTTTGCTGCATTGTCTCAAGTGACTCGCTGGCTCTTCGAAGCGATTGTGGAAACAGGGAAGGTTTGTCACACGTCGCCCCTCTTCGGGAGCAGCGGCAGAATCTGACTTAGCCGGCAGCCGAACAAGCTCAAGCGAAAGCCCATGCGCTGCAGGGATTGGTTTGAATCACCCTGCCGGCAACGACGGAGTCGTTCGGGAACGAAGTGGAAAAGTGAACTGAGAGAGAAGCAAGACTGACCAGTGTCGTCTGTGCTTCCTAGCGCATGTGGCTCAGTCGCACCGCAAGTTTCGTTATGGCTGCTATGCCGGTGGCGCAGCTGGCGCCGACCTTCATGGGCAAACAGTCCGCGATAGTCCACGTATGGTCCGACTTCCTGCGGGGGACTTGCACCGCCACCCCAGCGGAGGTTGCAGTTCGTTGGTGTTTTCCCGCTTTGCGAGTTGGCGCAGATCCAGCAAGACCACGTTCAGAGCTGGGCACAGCGCTGGCCAATGACTCCTCCCGCGGCGTGCTTCCCGCCGACATTCATGCCCACTCACGCCTTCAGCACATGGACCTCTCCCCCGCCTCGCCTTCCATGCCGGCACCGGGTTTCAATCCAGTGCCACTCACAAAACGCCCCCTCAACTTTCCTCAGCTACCTGCCAGGCTTTGTGGCATCCTCCCCCTCACCCGCCACACTACCCGCATGCACCCCCCCCTCCCCCAGCTTGCATGCCACCACCGGTTTTGAATCCACCAAAGCCCGTATCTGCCCCCCCCCCCTGCCCAGGCTCGCAGCACTTGGGTGGATATTTCCGAGAAGCTATTGGCGTTGAGCAGCGGAGCTTCGTGAATGGAAGAAAGTCTTCTGCCAAAGCGGACTTTCAGACTCGGTCTGGGTCTCGAGCTGCGCTTCCGTGCTGCTTGCAAAGCGGCCTGACACCTCGACATCAGGGTTAAGGAAGTTCAAGGCTTAGGGCTTAGGATCCGTGACCTTTGACCATAAGCCAAAAGTCAACAGCAGGTAGGGTGCTTGGTTTCGGGAAAGAGTGATAGGCAACTTTCTTGGGCTTCATCAACCCCAGGTTTTTTCAAGGTGAACTATGCAAGTGGTGAAAAGTCAGAGATACTTGTGCAGATCATTGCAATAACGGGCATGCTCTTGAGCTGTTCTACCACCCGGCTCTGCTGGAATTGCAGCTTGTTCGGCTTCCCATGGGACTGACGTCTTTGGTGGCCCGTCGCATAAGATTTCCACGGTAGTGTGACAAGCAATGCCTGCAATTTTTTACAGTACCTATAGTCAGCACATACACAGACCACAACCAAACGCGAAACAAGTCACTGCCTGCAAATTCACCTAAAGTCGCCACATGGCAAGAACCAGAACCAAAGCGTGGAACAGTTATGCCAGGAGGATGGCCAAAGTGCAACCGCTGAGAGCTTGCCCTGTTGCCACATGAAGTGTCTGCGGATGAAAAGACTGCTGCTAGACTCTAGGCTTTGTGCTACATCTCACTGCAATGAGTGCCTTGTTCATCCTTTGTCTCTTCGCAGGAAACCAAAGGCAACTCGGAAGGTTCAACGTCCAACCACAGCCATAGCTTAGGTCCGCCCCTTGAGTGTCGGTATCCTGGCACTGCATGAGCTGCGGCGCCGCACAAACGCTCGGATGTGGAAGGCTCTTCTTTGTACAGACTATGACAGTAGTCCCCGCAGAAGTCGGTGGGGCAACCGAGTGTTGAAAAACCACAAAGCTGCAGTTTGAAATTGCAAGCAGCACAAGCCACAACCTCTGTGTCTGAACAGCTGGGTCTACTGCGAACATGAACGGACCCCCAATGATTTAGTCACTTTAGTCACGGCATGCCAGCTACGAGGGTTTGGGGTCGTCTTGTACAGCGTACTTGCTGCAGCAACACCGCAGCGAGCTCTTCAACACGTTCAGGTGAACTCTGGAAAAGCCAACTCACCACTGTACAGGAATAGGGAAGATGGCTCTGGTATCCTAGCTGCATGGCCGGTCAAACCCTGCGTCTGTTCCAATCCAGCAAGGAGGCAGCTGGAAATGTGACGGCTTCGGCTTGAATTTCGTGGCTACAAGTCAGGACTGGATGTCATCAAGTCAGGACTGGATGTCATGCTCGCACGGTCTGATGGCCCAAAGAAAACTGTAGCACAGCCTTACGGCTTACGGCTCTTCAGAGCTTAGATGCGACTGGCCCTCAACCAGCCCAGTCTGGCCGGCGGCTGGAGACCTGGAATGATTCATGAATTGCTACCCAGAAGCACTCAGGCGGACGTCTGATCTGCTCCCCTCCCAGGGCATGTAGCAGAAAGGAACAGGACAGTATTGCGAGGCTCGGGACTGAGAGCCCGGCTCCCAGGTTTGCTCCTATGCGAAGGGCTGCAAGTCTTTGAGCTACTTGGATAAAGTGGAGAAGCTCTCTGGCTGCAGTGATCCTGTCCTGCTCCACTGCTGACATGTCGTCAACGACTTGAGGGAGCCTGCCGCCACTTCACCGACCACGACACTCAGAAGCAAGTCAAAGCTATTCACTGTCGGAGTCGCACACACAAACCCAAGACGTGGGAGACCGTCAGAAGCCTAGGGCCCAGAATATACCTCGGGACACATCCCAAGCAGGTCTCCGAGATCCAGGCATATCAGGCGTGTCGCAGTAGACACAGGCCTGGCGTCAGTGTGTAATTGACGGAAGACTACTTTCAACTCCAGCCCTGCCCTACCCGACCCTTCCTGCAGTAGGATCGAGGCGCGTACTTGCAAGCACAGTAAGATCCCGAATGGCTGAGCGTATCACGGCGCCAATTGCACATAACAAATCGCACCCCCTGAATTGCGTGCTGCCGCAAACACTGCTTCTGCATGATCGAAACAAAACTCAAAGCAAAAAAGAAAGGAAACACTTGAAAGTACTTTCAGGGCCAAGACGGGACGGTTGCGCATCGCCCGGCCTCTCCGCCGGCAGGGACCTCGACGCGCAGCCGGTCCCCACGCCGGACCTGTCCCGGCCCACAACCGGTGGCTGATGACAGTCGGACATCCAAACCCGGAAGCCCCAGCGCCATCGCAGTGCTGACTGTCACAGTGATCGTGCGTCTCGGTGTTTCGGTGCGATGCTTGACAATCATGTCCCTTGAGTTTTGCATCAGAGGGCAACTTCGCGTGACACGAAGTCGTGATCCGCATGACCGTCGTTGCTTTTGTGGGTTGAGCGACGGCTCGCACCATGCAGAGCACATCTCAACACCCAAATCACAGTAAGGGACGAGGGGAGGGGTGTCGATGCGATGGCCCGCATCACAGCCAGTGCGGCCTTCACGTTCGGGTGGGAAGCCCCACAGCCCTGGATAAGATATCGCTGTCGTTCGCTCACTGTGGGTCTGAAAGGTAGGTTACCTGTCGGTCACTCCCGCAATCCTCTGCTGAGAAAGCTTGCAAATTTGAGCCTGCACGCCATTGTGCAAAACTACGTCCAGGAGTGGAGCAGGTCGGTAAACCTGATTCCAGTTTCAAAGAACACCACGAGCTCGGCTGAAGAGCCACTGGCAAGGAAGCTGTCCGAGTAAGGCCATCGCCCGCAATCGAAAAAAATCATCGTCCGTCGCCGGCCGCAGCCTATGCTCTGCAGACAGTCTGCAGAGGAAGACGTTTCACGTCAACCATCGTTTACCAGGCCTGCAGCTCTCGCCCCTGGCCAGGCGTGCAACCGACTCGCCGCCGGTGCCACCTCCGCCTCAGAAACGGAACAAAACACAGCTCATGACGAAGCCTCAAGCGAAGACTCTGTCGGTGCCAGCAGCACGTGGGAAATAAGACTCCGACCCCAGGTGCCCAAACTTCCAACTGGAAGGGCCTGACATCAAACGAAGCAGTATAAAGGGGAGCAGTCACAGTCGCAGTGGCAGTGGCAGGGGTCGGAACAGCGCCAGTGGCGGCGGCAATAGCAGTAGCGGTAGCAGTCGCAATCCGCAGTCGCAGCCGCGTGCTTTCAGGCACAGCCACAGTCGCAGTGCTACTAGTAGTAATAACCATCACAACAATACTAGCAGTAGTAGCAGGAGTAGTCGTAGCAGTAGCAGCAGTAGTAGCAGTAGCAGCAGTAGCAGCAGTAGCAGTAGCAGGAGCAGCAGGAGAAGTAGCAGTATCAGCAAAGTAGCAGTAGGAGTAGCATTAGCAGTAGCAGCAGCTGTAGCTGCGGCTGCAGTAGCAACAAAAGTAGCAGCAGCAGCAGCGGCGGCGGCGGCGGCAGCAGCAGCAGCAGTCGCAGTCGCAGTCGCAGTCGCGGAGGAGCAGGAAGAGGAGGACTCGGAGGAGGGGCAGGAACATGTGAATCAGTAGGAGCTGGCATGATTACTCTGCCTATGAGCGTATGATTAGCGTCGTCGTTACGACGTCTGTGTGTTGTGATGATCATCGCTCCGACTTATGACTAAGTGTGCGAAACCGCAGCCAAGCTCGTTAGCTTTTCGCTGCATGTTGCCCAATCACACACGATCACTTAGCGCTATGATGCCCAGCTCCCGACACACAGCACATCCCTCAAGGCGTAGAGCGTCACCTGTCCGGGCATCTGCACTGCAGGTACAACCGTGTAAGACGCGCATCAACCAGAAGCAAGAAGGCTTCGGCTTGGGAAAGCAACTTAGCAAGCTTTGTTTACAACACTTCGAGCCTTCAGTGTGATACTCACAATGCGAACAGCCGAAGCCTTGATGACCGCGGGCCCGAATCCTTGCGAGTACCTCACCTCGATGGGGCAGGTCTTCCGCCTCCGGCCACAGTCCGAGAACGACAACCCGACATAACCCGACACCCGTCTCTGACGAGGCTCTTGCCACGGTCAACACGAGCACCGTTACTGCCAACCACTAATGGCTCACGTTTCAGTACGCTGATGACGGTTTCGCTGGCTTTCATAGCAGGGAGTTGGACGGAGTTCGGAACCTTGCGCGAAGAGAGCTGCTCAAGTACCGGAGGGCCCATATGATGATACGTGGTGACCCCAACAACACTGTGGCAGCATTTTGTGATGATGTTGTACGCTTCGAAACATTTCGAAACGACCAGCCCGGCCTGAGGAGCGTGTGGGCATGCTTGAGCCAGGCTTCCTTGACATCTCGGCAATGTAAGCGTCTTATCCGTCTTCTATAATCAGGTACTAGTATCTGTATGTATACCATTTATATGTATGTGTATATATATATAGAGAGAGAGAGAGACAGAGAGAAAGAGAGACACCATGGATGGATGCAGGAAAGTCAATGTATGCATGCATGCATGAAGGCATGCATGCATGAGGCAGGCAAGCAGGCAGGCGGGCAGCCCGGCAGGGCAGATTCACGCACAGACAAAACCCGACATACGGACACATTTTGCGTGAACGCACCCATACATACACACACACACACACACACACACATACACATGACATGTACATGCGTCGCATACGCACATTCATACATAGTCCATTCCCCTCCTTATTAAACACCCCTTGCAATGAAAACACTAGGGCCACTAGGGGGCCAATCCTGCCGAAATCATCTCTGCTCAACTAATTTGCATCTGGAGGCCCGGAGCAAGAGCAACAGCCAGAGCGAAAGCAAGAGCAGGGCAAGCAATAGCAAGAGCAGGAGCAAGAGCAGGAGCAAGAGCAAGGGCAAGGGCCAGAGCAAGTGCAGGAGCAAAAGCAACAGCAAAATCAAGGATCCCTCAAAAGTGACAGTAGAGATTAACGTACCCCTAATAACAAAAACACGTTCCGAGTATCTATTTGGGGACCCTCGCTTAATGTTAGGGGGGAAGGGATTACACACACGCACACACACACACATATACCATCATATACCTGTATACCTGTATACACATACATATAAATACACCTAAATACATATAGATGCACGTTACATACATACATACATACATACATACGTACATACACACATTGACATACGGACAGACAACCAGCCAGCCAGACAAACCCACGTCCAGGTCTGTTGCCAGGCAAACAGAGTCATCTGACAGGCACTTTATCTGGTCCATAGGCTGAGCTCTGCGCTTGCAGCACCTGAGTCGACGGCACACCAGCACCAAACGACGCTTTGACTGAGAACGATGTTCCGACACGAGCGTGACGTAAACAACACATGAACAGTTCGAGCAGAAAAGTCTTGGACCTGCCACCGGTCACGGTCCGCATCATCGCCGCCGGTGGCTCCACCTGGACCGCTTGCCATGGGCGAAGTTTCTTTTTGGGGGGATCATCCTCAATTACCCTGCAAGGTCGAGTTGGCGGCTCTCTCGCATTGAGCTCCGGACCGCGGCTCTGGCTTGAATTCAGAAGGAGTGCACAGCCGACGCCACCTTGAGAGCGCAATGATACTCTCTCCACAACACTCGGCTAAATAGCCAGAGCGTCGAGACCATGGGGATTGTTTCTTGTGAGCCTGCTCTACAGTGCCGAAGGCTTGCATACACAGTGAACCTACCTTCCAGTTTGCAAACGAACGATTAAACAGCCACTTGCTGTCGAGAATAATCCCACAGTACCAAGCTCCAGACCCATTGCCAACACTGTGGAACCTCGCTGGGCATCTCTGCTTGTCGTCTGAAAAGCTTCAACGGCTGCCGAAGAATCAGAAGCACCCTGACACTGGGCAGATCTCCATGCAAATCATATCAAATGATGTTACAATCCTCCATTCATCACCCTTGAATCGAGCCTGGCATCATCATCGCTACGCCGAGGCCGGCAGCCTGCGCCTGTCCGAGCGAAGATGCCCAACATGTAGGGGCCTTCGTAATTAGAATAAGGGTTTTGGGGCCCATTATACGGTTTAGGGTTTAGGGTTTAGGGATACTATTCTATAATGTTACTAAGGAGCACCCAAAAGAGTATTGGTAATTATTAAGGCCCTTATATAACCGATAATGCTACTAAGGAGCCCCCAAAATAGTATAGGTACTTACTCTATAATTCTATCATGTTACGTAATAGGGAGCCCCCCAAAAAATAGTATTGCTGTGCCGGGTCCCGGGCTTTGGTCAGGCGGACTCCTTCGAGATCGAAGGCGCTCTTCCTGAGCGGCGAGGCAGAGAGACGGGGGGGGAGGCCAGAGCCGGGCCTCCGTACTACTATACTATACTATAATAATACCGTACCACCATAAGATCATAATACCCTAATACCATAATACTATGTATAATATCATAATACTATAATACTAAAAAGGGGCTCCGGATGATAAGCTCAAGTTGCGTCGGGCGGCAACGATTTTGGCAGCCGGTCTGTGGACAGCAGTGGGTCCTTTGTGAGCAGCTCGGCGAGGGCAAGAAATCCAGCGCAAGCCGTGTAACTGAGATCCGTGCGCTCCCACCGCCACATCTCCGGTCTGCAGGCCACTGGCGACGCTGCGCACGTTCGGAAGTGATTTTTGGCTGCAGAGGTCATGGCACTCCAAGGGTCCACCGAAAGTTCTTGCAGGGGGGTCGAGATCCCCAACCCCATCCAGCCTGCTGCAGCTGCTGCCAGTGGCTGCCACGCAGCACCTGCTTTGGAAGGTCATGTTGCCTGATTCATACAACTAGCAGGGAAATGCGACGATTTTTCCTCAGCATTGTCTGAGCCAGGAACAAACCGCATGCTCCATCCAGCGAATCATACGTCTCACATTAGCACATCAAAATGATGCTTGGCCGCTGTCCGCTTGGCCGCTGTCTTTGGAGGCTCACCTGATCGCCCCAGCGGCTTTGGTGGTAGTTCAGGCTGTGAGGCAGCCAAGCCACAGCCCTGAGCTCCCTCAGGCGCCCTGTAGTAGCAGCAGGAGAGCCGAGAGCAATCACACAAAGAACTGACAGGAAACATCCACTTCCACCACGTTGCCATACGCAGTACTGCACCGAAAATGTAATATAGCATGGCCACAAACGACGGGTGGAGAAGGTGAAGCGCTGCTGCACATCGTGATGCCAATGTAGTAAAGGCTAGGTTCTCCACCAGCCGACGACTTGAAGCCTGCTCATGGTTCCAGAAGCCCTACGTGAATGCGCCGCTTGCGGCTTGCAAAGGCGCGAGCCGACAACGATCATGGTGATGATGCTGACGACGGCGACGATGATGTGGGTCGGGGGAAAACCCGTCTAACAGTGGAAAGCCCGTCAGGTCCAGCAGCTTCCTGGCTGAGGCAGACCAAGGCCGACATCCGCAGCTCTCTGCCAATGCTCGGCGGATCTATCTCGCAGTCAAAGAGGCTGGATGCAACGACAGCAAGCGTCTAGGCCAATGCACGCAGCTCAGTGTGACAGCATCCGGCGGAGAGAAATGACGGACCTGCTCTTCAAATCTGGTCCCTGGCGATATCCTCACATTCACGAGGAGTGTTCATGAGGATGAGCGCCTCCTGGCCAGCCACAGGTTGCAACTGGGCGATTCTTTAGGCCCTGAACTTGTTTTCTGATAAACCTTAACTCACCTCAGCACCCTGTCAAGGTCAGGCATACAGAAGAAGAACTGGTACGGGTACATTCCAGCCGGCTCTGCCTCCATGAGCGTTTTCAGCCGATTAACCGGAATCGTGATATTTGCATCACGTTCCTGAGCGGCGCTGCTCCAACAATGATCCGGCAATAGCTTGCAGCAGCTTCCCAAGAGTATGAGTATCAGTATCGACTTAGACTAATGATCAAACAAGAATAGTAATAGTGGTGGTGGTGGTGGTGGTGGTGGTGGTGGTGGTGGTGGTGGTGGTGGTGGTGGTGGTGGTGGTGGTGGTGGTGGTGGTGGTGGTGGTGGTGGTGGTGGTGGTGGTGGTGGTGGTGGGGGTTAGTAACGAAAGTAACAGCAACACTACTAACACTAGTAAGTGAAATTGAACTAAAGCATGTAGTCACAACAATATGACCTTTATGTTTGCTATTATCATGATTATCATGCTGGTGCTCTTGAATATGAGCCACGACGGAATTTTATGACGATTGCCATTTTTTATTATGTTTAGTATCACATGCAGACCTGCATGTCTTCAATCAGCAGGCTCGAACAGTTCAGGTCGCACATGCTGTCCCACACCCATAATCATGACCACAGCAGGCCTTGCCCGTCCATGTCGACTCCTCCAACCTAAAACCAAACTTCAAACCCCTCATTACATGGTCGATTGTGGACTGTCCAGAAAGTGTGAGAACTCAACTGATTCTGATCCTCCGATTGTTTGTCCAAGTCTTCCGGCCCAGCGACCCGTAGGTCGAACTCCTGACGGGCTGCTGGCGGTGCTGTTGCTACTGCCATTTCTCGAAAGCACATCGTATTACAATCTCGCAGAAGAACACGAAAACTTATACATCTATAACTAGTAGTTTAACCATCATCACCATCGTCATCACCATCGCCATCATCATCACAATGGGCATCATGTTCACGAGTACGGATCCAAGACTGAACACGCGTTACATGGCTGGCTCATGCTGCTGCTTGCGAACGAACCTCCAAGCGATTCGGTGTGCAGCAGGGGTCCTACATAGCGCTGGCTCCCGAAACCCCAAAAAGTATCAGAGAGTGAATTGCCAGCATTTCGAATCATCTTCCACCCTCACTACACCGCTCAGGATCTGTAAACAAAAACATAAACTGCCACAACGTCTTCTCACGTTGACCACTCTGCCGTGTCCCTGGCCTCCCCAAGACCCTTCTCCGCATCGGCAGGCTTCACGCAGATGTGATGGATGAGGGCAAGACGTGCGATGCCGCCGAAGGTCTCGTGGCCATCCAGATCCCACCTGTGTCATGCAATACATGGCTTCGGGATGGCATCATCTGAGCATCCTTCCCTCCTCCTCCTCCTCCTCCTCCTCCTCCGAACCCGGAAGCTACGAATTCTCGTCCGTGTCTTTCCGCGGAGTCTGCAATTCGCAGGTCACGGAATTTTGGAAGCGATTTTGGCAAGGGAGGCTTTGTCACCCCTTCGTTCGTCGTTCCTCTTCGGAGCAGCAGCAGCAAGTGACTTAGCCAGCAGCCGAACAGACAAAGCGAAAGCAAGGCGCTGCAGTCACAAGTTAGACCCTTGAAGCTACGCTGCTCATTGTTGCCCTTCGGCTTTTTATTATCTTGGCCCTTTCCCTTCCCCTTGCCTGATGGACCTGGGGAGAAGGGTGGGCAACTCTTCCTCAGACATGTCCGCCTTGCCTTTGCTGTTGCCCTTCGGTTTTTTGTCATCTTGGGCAGATGCCACAAAGCCGGGCAGGTAAATGGGGGAAATTGTAGGTGAGCTTGTGAGTGGCACTGGATGGAAAAGCCGGTGCCGGCATGGAAGGAGGGGGAGGAGTCCAGGCGCTGAATGTGTGAGTGGGCATTGGTGTTGGGCATCACCGTGCCGGAGGAGTCATTGGTGGCTGGCTGCGCTCAGGGGCGAACATGTTCCTGTTGGATCTGTGCCAGATGCTGGCTGGCATGGTGGGAAAACACCAAAGAACCGCAGCCACCACTGGGGTGGCGCAGCCGAATGCGCAAGGAAGCACAGACAATACTGGTCACCTTTGCTCCTCTGTCACTTTGCTTGGTTCTGAATGATATCCGGATACGTCTATCGGAGTCTATTAGGCTATCGATGCAGCCAGAGTCTTTCAAAGCGATTTCCGAATGGAAGTCCACCGCCCTGACGGCCACGCCTGTCGCCACAGGCGAGGATGAAAGTAGGCACGCCCCCCGGTCGGAACTCGATGACGGCACCACCTCTCACAAGGCACAGATCCGGAAATTTGGTTAAGCCCTTCTTTTCCCACTCTTCGGCCGAAAAACCAGTGCATCCACAGCTGTTAAGTTTCCAGACTTGCTGTGCGGTACTGGATTTGTCAGATTCACCCGCCTTCCTTCATGGCCCAAACCTCAGTCCGCGCAGGAAGGGCCAAGATGAGCCGGACTCTTCATGCCAGGAGGTGTCCTTAAAAGGGTTCCTTAAAGGGTTCTTTTGGGCATATGGGCCTTACTAAATGCAACAGGCTTCCTACTCAAACAAACTTCCCTGGCAACTGCAGAAGATCCCTGGAGCTGTGACAACTCCGCAGAAGCCCGTGCTTAAAACTGTTGGCCCAAGAAGCCCACGCCAGGCCGCCGCCATGGATGCCCACCAGCACAGACAGATCCACGAAGTGCCGAAATTGGGTCAACCAGGGAATCCCCTGGAGCAGGGAACGTATATAACAGAATTGGCTCTGTGAGCTCGTCAAGATGTTGGGAGCGCTACTCTGAGTCACGATGCCCGACAGCTGTTTTTCGAGAGTTTGCTGGGCGATAAAACTTGCTTCCGTGGACGGTCCTTCAGGTCACCGATTGTGTGAAAAGACAGCTGCTGCTCGAAATCCCGCCGCAGCATCGCCAAGACCTCCTCTATGTTGATGATTGCACCTGACTGAGGTGCCAAGACAAGGCTGAAGGCTTAAAAAGTGAAGGACTCGAAGGAAAGGAGCGAAAGTACCCGCGGGGAGTTCTTCGGTGGACCTTCCAGAAACGCCCGCCTTGCACAAAGTTTACTGCAAAATCCTTGCATTGAGCATGACCGAGAGCTATCCAAAGAATCTGCTCCAGTCTAAGCCGAGAGCGAAGCTTTTACGGGCAAGCGCATAACCCGGAAAAAAACAAGGGGCCTCAGAACAGGAGACCACAAAACCAGATTGCTGTGTATCCGGAATTCTTTCGGAAGGACCGCGGAAGGCGCGCAGGTCTGAAGTGTGTGAAACTGAACGTGTCTAATTTTGACTGAGGCTGAAAGCGGCCGAAGGCACGCCCAGTCATGAGCGGCCGCTGTATCACTGCTGCTTGCCTGCATGCGAAGCAGAGTTCGTGATGGGACAGTAGCTGACAAGAGAGCGAGGCTACGGATGGCCGATGGTGGCCGCAAGCTCATGCCTCCGATTGGCTGGCGCAGCTTCTTTGATCCCAGCAGCGTCGACTGGGCCACAGGAGCAACGCTGTGTTCTGCTGCATGCTTCTACAAAGACTCACGCGCTTGAATTTGATGCAAATGTGGATTTTGATGTGGATTTTGTTCTTGCAACCTCGAGAGAATTTACTAGCATTATTAGTATTATTCGTATTATGAGCATTATTAGTATTATTGGGATTTGTAGAAATCTCAACGAGACGAGAAGCCCACAAATCTCCTGGCTCGCCTGACATCCGCGCAGCTCAGGCTGGGAGTCTGCACCTTCCAAGGGCGAAACCACAAGTTGAGCACTATTAATAATGCCAATAATACTAATAATTACGCTAATAATGCTAATAATACTAATAATGCCAACAATACTAATAATACTAATTTTAGCAAGACTATAACAATACTACCAATAGTACTACTAGAGATATTAATACTTCCGAGCCCTTGAAGCGTTCCAGAACCGGTAGCCTGGAAGCGCAGCGGTGGAAGGCCAAAGATCACCTTCTTGTAGGTCTTGCCAAAGTAGTCCTTTTAAAGGCAGAATGCCCCGGCTTCGGAATTACTACCTCCCTATACTATTATGGGGGTTCCTGTAAGGGTTACTTTTTCAGGGATCTACAA